GAGTTCCTCCTGGCAGCGGAGACAGGACTTCCTGTGGGGATCCTCGACCCGCTACCTCGCACGCCTCACGTCTATGAGGAGCAGCTAAAGTGGCCGCTGGAGAATGCTCCCTGGGAGGCTTCGCTAGCGTGGGTCCCTAACTACACCTCGGTCGACGAACACAAGTCCTTTGCTAAGGAGAAGTTCGACGAGGACGTAGCCGAAGGCCTCATGCTAAAGATGACTCTAGGTGAGTTTGTCGAGAAGTACGGCGACCACAGAGCTATAGCCGCGCTAGCCGTCATTGTTGAGGACGAGGCAGCTAACAAGAAGCGCATCATCCATGATGCTACTCATGGAGTGAGAGTCAATCACCGCATCAAATGTCGTGATAAGCTACGCGCTCCAGGAGCCCGGGAGAAGAAGCAGTTGCTCCGGGAGATGCTAGCGGAGAAGAAGGTGGCCTTTTCGGTTGTTGGCGACATCGCTAAAGCCCACCGCCGCTACAAGCACCAGAGCAAGGAACACGGCTATCTGGCATGCCAGATAAGCCTAGAGGAAGAGGTCCCCGGTACCGGCACCTTCGGCCTCTCCTGCGCGAGCTATTGGTGGTCAAGGATCGCCGCCTGCGGTCTGAGACTGGTCCACCACCTAGTGGGACCAGAGTACCCGATAGACATGTTGCTATATGCGGACGACCTGGAGTCGCTAGGCTGTGGCCCAAAGGGGAGACTGGGGATCCCGCTCAGCTACCTTTACTTCGCTAGTCTGGGCTTCCCCTTCAAGTGGGCAAAGTCGAGAGGGGGCTTCCGGGTGGAGTGGCTAGGCATGGAGACCGAGTACGCTAGCCACCGCCTGGGGCTTTCGGCAAAGAGAGCAGGTTGGCTGGTCTCCTGGCTACGGAACACCGTTACAGCTGGCTACGTCACGGCCAAAGAGATGGCGCAGGGCCTAGGCAGGCTGGGATTTGCGGCGATGTCCCTAGATTGGGAGAAGCCTTTTCTCGGACCGCTATATGCCTGGTCCTCGGCGGTGCAAGGTTGCCAAGGTCCGCTAAAGTTGCCCACCATGATAAGAGTGCTCTGTAGCTGGATAGCAGATCGCCTGGAGAAGGGTGACCGGCTACAGCAGCCGACCCCGTTAGAAGTTACGGAGGCGCCGCTCAGCTTTTTCACCGACGCTAAGGCCGAGGCGGGCCGGGCCTGGATCGGGGGTTTCTTGGAGCTAGTTCCCGGCTGCCAGGGCCCTTGGTTTTCGCTGGAAGTGGAGGCTGATTGGGCACCTTGGGCTTTCGCTAAAGGTGACCCCAACAAGGTCATTGCGGCTCTAGAGCTACTGGCAACCCTTGTAGCAGTTCGGCTCTGGATCCCAGAAGGCAGGGCTAGGACCTTGTCCCGTGTGGCTCTGAGAGGCTATACGGACAACCAGTCCAACGAAGCTCTGCTAAAGAAGCTTATGACCACAAAGTTTCCTTCGGGGCTAGTCCTTATGGAGCTAGCAGAAGAGCTGGAAGCTAGAAACTGCGAACTCCAGCTACAGTGGGTCCGCCGTGACCTGAACCAGCTAGCAGACGACCTGACGAACGAGAAGTTTGATCACTTTTCTCCAGAGTTCCGGGTCCCGCTAGTTGGCAGCGAGCTTCGGTGGCGAGTCTTGGGCAAGCTGCTAGAACACTCTGCAAGCTTTTTCGGCGAAGTTAAGAAGAGGAAAGCAGCTAGGTCGGTGAAACCGATGCGTTTCAGAAAGAAGCCCAAGAAGCTAGAACCCTGGTAGCCCGAGTGGCGTTGCTAGGAGTTTTGCTAGCTCGAAGCTAGGCATCTCCGGGCTACAGGGATCTGCCGCCACAGATAAAACAATGCGTCTCAGTCCGCCCACTCTTTGTGCTAGGAGGTGCAGGGGTGGATGGTGGGATCGACGTAGGTTGCTAGTGCACGCTTCTTGTAACGAGGGACGAGGGACAACTGTGTGTGCTAGCAACCCGAAGTTCCTCCTTCGACATCGAAGGTGTCGACAGCTAAAACATCGAAGGTGTTTTCGCTAAATGTGTTCTATCCGTCGCCGTTACGGCTAGAACCCCTTTGGGGGGTAGAAGATTTTCAGAGTACCCACCCAACCCTCCCTGGAGTTTTGCTAGCTCGAAGCTAGGCATCTCCGGGCTACAGGGATCTGCCGCCACAGATAAAACAATGCGTCTCAGTCTGCCCACTCTTTGTGCTAGGAGGTGCAGGGGTGGACGGTGGGATCGACGTAGGTTGCTAGTGCACGCTTCTTGTAACGAGGGACGAGGGACAACTGTGTGTGCTAGCAACCCGAAGTTCCTCCTTCGACATCGAAGGTGTCGACAGCTAAAACATCGAAGGTGTTTTCGCTAAATGTGTTCTATCCGTCGCCGTTACGGCTAGAACCCCTTTGGGGGGTAGAAGATTTTCAGAGTACCCACCCAACCCTCCCTGGAGTTTTGCTAGCTCGAAGCTAGGCATCTCCGGGCTACAGGGATCTGCCGCCACAGATAAAACAATGCGTCTCACTCCGCCCACTCTTTGTGCTAGGAGGTGCAGGGGTGGATGGTGGGATCGACGTAGGTTGCTAGTGCACCTACAGTTTCCGTTTCTCTATTTCGGCAGGAATCTTGCAGTCTGACTAAACGCCAATGTCGGCTCAAGAGTTTATCTTGGTCCGTGCGAGCACATCGTCGTGCCTGTGTGAAGCTGGCATGTTTTCGTGTTAAGTTGAAGCGCTGCTAGTTGAGACATTGTCGAGCCCGTTTGTTCACTGCCAGGCCGGGAATGTGGTCTCCTCGAATCGGGCACGCGGCCTACATCTGTCGATGTTGAAATCGCACAAACGTTCCCCTGTTTTTCTACCTGGGCCGGAGCTGACGAGGTGGGGATGGCGGCAGCGCTCAGTGATGGAGCCGCAGCCCCTTGAATGTCATAATCAGCAAGGATCTCATGGAAAACCATACCGACAAAGATGCTGTGTCATCCACAGCGTCGATGCGCACAAGGCATGGTCAGGGTGATTTGCCAGAGGAAGGCCACATGCGTCAAATGCTTTCGACGTCACAGTGTCACAGCTGATGGTCCAACCGTGGACCCTGCACGCGCAGTTGATGGGACGTGGGACATCTCGTCCAGCTTGTCCCAGCTTCAATTGCTTGATGACTGCAGTCGTGAAGGCCAGTGAGCCAAATGAGATGTCTGAGGTTGAGTGCCTGCTTTGAGAAGTACCGCACGCCAGCAGCTGATGTACCCCAGTCCTGCAGAGTTTCATGTTTGGCGGTTTGGCGTTTGAGGACGCCGAACGAGGAATTGGAGTTCCGACGATTGCAGTGCCCGACTCGGGGGATCTCCGGAAAATCTCGGCCTCGGCGGGCCTTCCCAAGCCTCGCAGGCTGGGAGCCCTGCTGCTCGGGTTGTTTGCCGTGGAAGTCCTGCGATTGGTGGTCGGGCCTCGGCCCCGGCGGCCTCGGCGGCCTCGGCCGGTACTCCCGGATTCGAAACACAGCGAGGCAGCTGCTGTTCATTCCCGGCCTTTTGGTGTGTTTGGTCGCCCCCTCAACCTGGGATTCTTGAGTCTTCCCAGGTCTGCTTTGCTATACGTTAGAGACCGTCTGGGTGCTGGAGGTTGGCAATCGGGCTCGGTGTTCTTTGCGCCCGTGGGATCTTACTCTCTTCGTGGCTCTGGCTACTGTGGTCGCCGTCACGGACCTGGCCCCGCACTCTGTGATGGCATTGGTGTCCGTTCTGTGGACATCGAAGCCGTGGACTTTGTCACCTGTCAGGTCAGCCTGGTGGCTGGGTGGCGTGGAGGTCGGGCACAACCGCAAACACAGTCGCAAAGTCTTCTTTTCAGAATTTTTTCCCTGCGCTTCGTCGGGAAGGCTTTCCCGAGATTGCCGAAAGCTTCAGGCATGGCATGATCGATGCCTCACAGCTGTGTCTCAAGTCTTATCTGGAAGAGGCTGTCTTCCTGCCAGCGTGTTGGAACCACTGGAGACGTCCTCGCACCAATGATGGAGCTGCTCTGCGTGAAAGTCATAGCCTCATTTGTCCGATTTGTTGGTGGTCTATGTGTCCGCGCTGTCTGCAGGTAGCTTCAGGGTCGTATCTCAAGGCAGGCAGTTGTCCATGTTGCCAGTTTAGTCTTCTTCGGGCGGCATTCACAACGTCCGTTGCTGGGTTTCAGCAACGATGCGCATAGCTGGCTTGTTCTTCCCTTGGCAGGCCGAGCATCTGTTTGCCGTTGGCCCGGCAGAGAAAATTGAGACATGAGTCGGCAAGCTGAGATTTTCATCAGTTGAGGTCGACGTATGCAGTTTCGCGCGGGTGCACGGTGCAACACTTAGCCGTCGCAAAGAAAATCCAAGAGTTGTTTGTGCTTCTTCGAACCTGTCTCAGCAAGCAAGTCTTCGAGTCAACCCGAAAGCTGTTTCAGCTGATTGGCAACGTATTCCTTGCAAACGCTTTCTTCCAATGCCGACGCCATTCAGAGTGGGAGATGATGTGTTCCTGGAGTGCAACAAGATGCCCGTTTAATGCTGTCGTCCTTAAGCGCCAGGTCGTGTTAGCTCAAACAGAAACCAAGGTACACGTGGAATCTTTCGACGAAAATGGTGGATCAGAAAGGTCGCGAAATGCATCATAGAGTTTACTCTTTTTTGTTTGCTCAGCAGATTCGTTATTGCAGGTGACTCGTGTAGTGCGTTGGGCAACTTAGCCCAGGTCGTGTTAGCCAAATTCTGAGCTCTCCGCTGGCGTACGGCAACACTGTGACTTGGTTCAGTGCGGAGGGGCTGAAGCTTGTTTTGCCAAGAAGTGTCAACGGCGGAACAGTTGTGTCATCACCACATGCTTTTCTAACGATCAGCTGCCGGCTAGGTTTTGCCACCTGGTTCCGTGGCGGTGACGTTCTCGGACGAGACGTCGACGCTGTGGATCAGTGAAGAGCACGTAGGACGGCAGCGCTTGTCGGTTGAGAGTTCCGGAACCGCCATGGCCATTCGCAAAGCTCCAGGAGTCATGCTGCGACGAGCCGAAGCCGCCCCTCTTGCGGCATTGCGGCACATGGTTGTGCTCCCGTTACCTTTATGAGAGAAGGTGTTCGACTCTGTTTAACTGTTTATAGCTACGATACATGCGCGAACAGGAGTCAGCGTGTGCAAGTACCGTCTGGAGTGTAAGCTGGTAGCGGGGCCGCTGGGACCGAAGAGAAGGATCGGGATGAGTCGGAAGAAGACCATCTATCTGCAGATCGATTGCCCCAGGCGCTGCTTGCACAAATCCTGTGTGGTGCTTTCAGCACAGGGTGGTGACGGGCAGGATGCAAGCAAACTCGGCGTCGGCGGCTACACTTCGCTTTCCTCCATGCAACTCGGCATGAAGACATATGAAGACCTCCAGTCTTCCGCCCGCGGTTCTGCGAGATGCTGAGGCTCGGGGCCATGTCCTCTTTCTTTGGGCTGGACAAAAACGGCTTAGCCACGAAGCAGGAAGACTCGAAAGAAGAGTCGGATGGGAAGGTGCGTCGGTGCTCTTATGCTTTAAACACCATGTGCTTTGGGCTTATTCAGGCCATGCGCAAGGTGGCCTTTGCCGAGGGGGATGTTGTGGATGTTTGGAACTACGATGCCAGTGCTTGGGATGTCGGTGCTGTTGTGAGCCAAGTGCTCCATGAGCCACTATCGCTGGGTGGTTCGAGTCTTCCAGCTGGATCGATCCTGATCTCCCTCAACGGTGCGCTGAGGCTTTGGGATAGGCTGCCATGCAGTGCGAATGTAGTGCACAGAGACAAAGTGATGTCGATGTCAGGTGGCTCACCCCGGATTTGATCAGCTTGGTCGTTCGACGTTCGGATGGTGTGCAAGCGGCTGCCTCCTGTGATTCGGATGGCTCAACTCCTAAGCAGATCGTGGACACTGCTTCCACTGATGCATCGCAGCCGGATGACGAAGACTTGGTGCACAAGTCACTGTCAACATCGACAGCGGCAAGCGGAAGACAGCCAGATGTCGCAGCAGATGCTCCACCGGCCAGTCCTGTGAATGCCAGTGGTCCAAAGCCCTCGCCCTCGCAGAGTGGCGATGCCGACTTGGATGAGGACCAAACCCAAACTCCCGTGACTCCAGCCACAAGCACAGGCTCGCAAGCCTCTGTGAAGGCTGGGCTTTTGCCCACTCCACAGGCCACCGTGATCGCAACCCTCAAGGTTCCGGATGCCATGGGCCCAAGCACTGAATTCGACGGCACGCCGGTCTCCAGCCGACACAGCTCCCCACCAGCTAGTCCGAGAACAAAGGTCTCCTGGCCACATTTCATCCTAGGACAGCAGGCGGGGATGCTTGTGCAACGAAAATCCTGCAGCCGAGGACCATAAGCCTACTCTCGAGGCGCCACCGGACTATGAACGGAGCAAGCAGCGTGTCCTTGTCGTTGGCCCTGGTTTCGGTCGTGAGCTGAATCCGCAGCAAGGCAGGGCGGCAGGGCGGCAGGGCCAAGCCCGGACATACCAGGTTCACAGGGTTAAAGAGATGGCCGGTAGTTTGCCAGAATGCTTCAAGGCCAACTTCTGGAATCAGCGGGCTTCCAGGAGCCATGGATGCGCTTAAAAGCCCCAATCGCTTCGTCGGCCAAATCTAGAACTCTGTGTCGGGCCACAAGGTACGTTGGGTCTTCGACTTGCCGAATCCGGAGTCGCCTTCCTTTCCGATCCTGCATTACTTGCCGGCTACCTGCCAGGTTTAGCATTGCGTCTTAAGCCCATGCCTCTGCTGCAGCCGGCCTCCCCTACCCATCCACACCCCAAGCCTGTCTCACATGCTGATTCGTAACCAGGTGCTCAAGCAAGCCATTGACGAGTTCGCTCCGCACTTGCTCGTTTGCGCCTCCAAAGGTGGCGCCTACGTCACTGCGGTCTGGCAGGCAGGTCTTTGGACCGGACCGACCTTAATCATCAACAGGCCGGGTTTTGAACGTCCAGCACAGCCTTCGTCGTGTGCTATGTTATTGTGTTTTGCGGGTGGCAGGCATCCTACATTGACCAGTCTACCCAAAGGCAGCTGGTCTCCAATCTAAGCCAACGCGCGTGCCCAGCTGATGTCTCAGTAGCTGCCTTGATGCAATGCTGAGGCAGCAGAGTAGTATTGGCACACGGCTCCAATGATGAATATTATCAGTACAGAAGAGAAGACCTTGAAGCGCTGATGCGCTCAGGCTGACCTCTTTCCCGCGTCTGCGTGTGCTTGAGTGCACGAGCGTCTAATCAACCTGCCAGGATCCAGCAACACCTGCTTCTTGTACTACACTGCAAACAGTGGAGTTCTTGGACGAGGGCATACTCGCCTAGGCGACAAGCACAACATGGAGTGTCTTGGAGTAACAACTGCATGTAGGTTGACTGCTCTTGTTCGGGTCGCAATCACTTGCCTCTGAGGTCGTTGAAGCTCTGGGACACCCTGCCCCGTCTTTGTGACGCTGCCATGGCTCCAGAGTGCCCCGAGCTGACTATCATGAGATCCTGGCGATCTATGTTGGCACAGGAGATGATGTGGTGTACGTGCGTGTAGGAGGCAGTTGCCAGCATACCTTAACGTAATGGCGACTGTAGGAGCGACTGGATGCAGAGGACTGCTTGAGAAATGGCAGGAAGGCTTCTAGCCTTCCCTCTTAAAGACCCTGCCGGCGCTGTCGAGGAGTGGCTTGGCTACGTACCTGGCCTGCGGACGCTGTGGCAGTCGGAGGACCAGAAAGGCCGGAACATTCTGCTATTGATTGGTAGTGGTGCCTGTGTCGCCTTTTCGTTGCGTTTGTGAGGTGTTGATGTCTTCCTTGATTTCCTCTAGTGACTCCACTGTCTGATTTTGCCTGCCCTTGGGTGTGGCAGGCATGGATGATCAGATACTGTTCGAGGTTAACAGCGACTCCGAAGAGCAACCTGGCAACGCAACCTCGAGCCTGACCTTCGAAGGCTGCTGCAGCTCACAGGCTGGCACACCAGCCTTCCTGGCGCGGCAGTGATTGTCGTCTTCCGTCTCAGGTATGAGAAGGTTGCCAGTATCTTCAGGGCACAGCCTGCAGTATCGCGAGCCTACGCAGACTCTCAGCCGCAGGTTTGATGTACATATGAATATATATATATGTATATATTTTTATGTATACACACACATATACATATATGTACATAGTTCATATGTAAATAGGCAAACGAACAACTGAGCAAATAAACAAGCAGATACATGTAAACATACAGTATGTATGTATGTATGTATGTATGTATGTATGTATATGTGTATGTGTATGTGTATGTGTATGTATATGTATATATATATATATACATACATACATATATATATATATATACACATTGACATTACTTACATAAACACACACACACGTATAGGTGTGTGTATATATTTATATATACATACATATATATATATATATATGTATATGTATATGTATATATATATATATATATATATATATATACACATAGCCAAATGAACAAACAGATAGATTTAAACACACAGTATATATATATATATATATGTATGTATGTATGTATGTGTATGTATGTATGTATGTATGTATGTATGTATGTATGTATGTATATATATATATATATTTATTTATTTATATTTATAACCTCACGGGGGGAGGGACCATTGTAGGGTAGGGAAGATGCAGACACGAAAAAAATAAAGTGGCTGCCAAGTGCGATGGGATTTCGCAGTCCTCCCGAAGCTTCAGCATCAAGCAACTTCACGAGCAGGATTGCAAACAGCACAGAGCAGAAATTCGCCATTACCACCAAGAGATGCACGTCGCAGTCAACACGAGTTTGTGCAGATGTGCCATGGAACTCGCAGAGGGCGAGCTCGCCAGGTTGTTGGAGGCTTTGTCGGGACTTCCGTTGGGGATTGCAAGTGCCGAGATTGAGATTGGATCATCGCGAGTGCGGGCTTGGGGCGGGAGCTCACGTAAGACCTTGCAGGAGACACTGGCGAACTGCCTGGGTTACACAGCTCCTCGCGAGGTGTGGAGCATCGGGCATCGGATGGACACACCGTGACAGACTGTCTGCAGTGCCCTGAGCAGAATCGATTGACAGGTTCTTCGCACGAGACGTGCCTCCCAGGCGGTGCTGGCCCGTGTGGAAGAGTGCCTCCCCGGGCTTCCGACTCAGGCATTGGATCGAGACCTGTCAATTTCAGCCTTTATTTGATTTCGTTTTACGTAATGATTAGGCAGGGAGTCAGCACGCACAGGGCGTGATAAGCCAGGCGACGGCACGACGCTGCTCCATCTGTCTGCCGGTTTGGGCATCGCAGAGCTGACTCAGCGTGTGCTCGAACGCCGGTCGGATGTCTCGAGCATTCACCGTCAGTTTGGGACCCCGCTACACCTGGCAGCGGAAAGAGGCCGGCTATGCATGCATTTGTCTTTGGGTTTAGCTCCGAGGCCCCGTCAACCAGACATTGCACAGTCGACCCGGTTGCAGGTCACCAAAATGTTGCCCGTCTGCTCTTGGCCGAGAAGGCCGATGTGCAGCAGGCTTTTGCAACAACGGAGATCACAGCACTGCACGTGGCAGCTGCACGTGGCCATGTGCCGGTGCTGCATACTCTGATTGAAGCAGGGGCCGGTGTTAACAAAGCGAATGCTGCGGGAGCGACCCCTTTGCACTGTGCCGTGGCAAAGGGTCATGTTGAGGCCATCACAGCTTTGCTCCAAAGCAGTGCAGATACTAACAGCATCTGTCATGACGGCAAAAGCCCCTTGCATTTCGCGGCGTATCAGAGTCTCGTCGAGCCACTACAGGTTTTACTTGAGGCACGTGCTTCCGTCAACGATACGGATGCGGCTGGCTACACGCCGCTAATCTTCGCCTCGCGCGAAGGACACAAAGAGGTCGTGGAAGTCTTGCTGGAAAGCATGGCCGACGTGAACATCTTGAGTTCAGATTGTGAGGGACCTTTGCATGCAGCTGCGGACCGAGGTCATTCAGGCATTGTAGTGCTGCTTCTATCAAGACAGGCAGACGTAGAAGCAAGAAACGGCGATGGCCTGACAGCGTTGGACATGGTTACAATCGATGAAAATCCTGCCATCGCTGAGCTGCTGATCGACAGAGGTGCGACATCTCGATTTCTCTGAGTGAGCGAGGCACGGGCACAAGGCCCGTCCAAGACTTGATAATGATTCTGGCTTAATGGCTTCAGGAAGCAGAGAGGCAAAGTCTCCTCGATGCGAAGCGTTAGGACAGAAATGATCCTGATGCTAGTGAGTTTACATGGGCATGGCAAGCCGTGCAATTCCAAAAAGGATCCATTGCCAAATAAACTTCTCGTTTCGCAAATGCGGGAACCCCTCCTGTGCAAGGACATGAATCCTGCCATGTGGCAGCACATCAACATTCTAAAGATTGAGCGCGTGGAGAACGGAATGCAGGAGGATGGCAGTGCAGAGCCGTACTATAAGGCCAGCAGTTTCCGTCATCCGAACTGGAAGTTTGATGAGAATCGTGCGGCTTAATCCTTTGTTGGACCTGGAGGCATTGCAGCGTGGCGTGGAGAATCAGGGTGTGCCGTTCGTACCAGGATTGCACACGCGATGGGTTTTCCATGGCTCCAGCGCAGTGGATCCAGAGAGAAATTAGTTTTGAGGTGGCGGGATTCTGTTGTGCTCTAGAGACTGCCACCAGCAGTTTGGGCGATCCAGGAATCCAGTGGGTAGGCTTGAGCTAAAAGCTTGCTCGGAGGATCGATGGTCTTCGTAAACCCAACCTGACTAGGCCGTGTCTCTATCCCGTCGCCCCATCCTCCCCTCTCCAAGGATTCCATCGTCTCCAACCCCATCTCAGGCACGGGGCAAGCCAGCAACCGGGCTCCACTGACAGCATGAGGGCATCGGGGGGACTGCGCTGGCCTGTTCCGCAGGATTCCAGCCGCTGATGTCTGGAACTCGAGGAAATGCTCTCTGGGGTTCCGGCACTTACTTTGCCCGCGATGCTAAGCAACTTGCCTGTGTCAGCTGGTTTATCTGGATGGATGGTTGATCTTCGCGTTACAGCTTCCACCATGTGTGTTGCCACTGTACCATGTCGCCGCAGTGCTAGAGAGAGGTATGTTTACGATGGTGGCTTCTGCAGTCCCGGAGTGGATGGCAGCAGGCAGATACTGCTTCTTTGTGGCAGCTGGAAAGCGACCGCAAGCAGTGCTATCAGTGCCATCTGCTAATATCTGCTATCAGCTGAGAGAGCACTTACCAAGGCTTTGCTTGCTCATGAACGGATTCGTTTGCCTCGGAGGCTCCCCGCTCAGCTCCGCTCTTCTCCGTCTCATGCTCTGCTCGGCTCTGCTCGGCTCTCTTTTGCTCTGCTTCTCCTGCTTTCTCTCTAGCTGCATGGGCTTCGTGTCGACAGATTCGGAGCACAAGGGCGTGCTCCCATTCCGTCAAGGTCGTCACCGGAGTCTCTCTCGCACAGAGCGCGCGGTTTTGTTGGGATACTCTGCGTTGCGAGACTTTCTGCTCTCCTGCTTCTCCGGCTGTCAAGGTACAACGCGTCAGTGGATAGCCTCTCTAATCCAGAGATTTTCGTTCGGCACTTAGCCCATGCTTCGGGGACCGCCGCAAGAGGATAGTTCACGAGACGTGCGCAGAAATGATGTTGAGGTGACGCAGTCACCCGGTGCCGCATATCCCGCTTACGTCATTACATTTTCCTAGGTTGCACCAGTGCAAGTGACGATTCATACACTGTTTGCACATGAACGCCGCACGTCTGTCGGAAGCCGTCGTGATCCAGTCGCTGGCACTGTGGTAGGAGTTAAAATTCACGTTTTGCCTACAGAATCGTTTTGTGGGTCTAGCTTGGACGGTACATTCGCCACTTGGCCACAAGCTGCCGGCACGAGTTCCGTCACCAGGCTGGAGCCGGTCTTTAGTGCACAGGCATAGAAAGCCTGCGCAAGACGAAGTTTAGAGGATGTGATTGAGCTCACAAACGTGAAGACTCAGCATGTCCCGGCATTGTACAGAAGCTCCAGAACTGGAGCCGAGCACACGAGTTGACTGCGGAGCCAGCCGGAAGGAAAGTATTGGCCCAGGTCAAGCACTCCTGATTTGGCGAAGCCATTGGCCGTGCATAGGGAAATGAATCAACTAAGGTGCGTACGAAGGGTGTACGTCCTCGCGGAGGCGACCGGATTGGCTCTTTACAAGTGTCTTATCCATGTTCGTGTATGTGCAATATCCTACTTTTGACAGAGCGTTGCGCCGCTGCTTCGTCGTTTGGCTCAGCAGCTCGGCATGACCCGACCTCGCTTCTGTCCCGCACTATGATGATTGGTGAGCTTTGACCGAAGATCAACCGAAATGAAGTTCGATCCCCGCAAAAGCTTGCACACGCTCATGTCGAACTGCTGGGCATGGGGCGTGCAGCAGCGGCTGGCAAGTTCACCTTGCGCAGCGCTTGTGACGCAGTATGTGGGCTGCTGCCGGCAGGCCTTTGGCTTTTCCTTGGTTCACAGTGGAATCTCCCGAACCGAGAGAAAGTTGGACTGAAGCATGCAAGTTTTGAATGCGCTGCGATGTCACAAGGCCGGATGGGATGCTCGCGAGAGACTGGACCAGAAGTTCGTAATTCCAGATGGAGGCATGTTGCTGAGCATGGGTTTGGACATCGCGTAAAGCATGGCTGCAAAGCACATGCCGAGTCACGCACGTAGGACGTAGATGCTGTGCAAAAGCAGGACGACTTCAGCGGAGAAACCACACTTTTGCAAATGTACTCGCCGCTGTTGATGTACTGCTGGATGGCACGACAGGTGCGGAGGCTTTGCCGTGCGAGGGTGAACTCACGCAATTGAGGCCGGCTGAAAGACGCCACGTGCAGATCTTGTTGAGACGGCGGCGTGGGAAGCGCTGAGGCGCTGCTTGCCCAAAGCGCTGTTGGGCGGCAAAGGCAGGCCGTTTGAGGCCTGCGAGCGTGATTTTCGTGCGGTGGCGCGGCGCACAGCTGTCTTTGCAATTCTGTGCCGATTCGTATCAGCGCAACGTCCGTGATTGCAGTTCGGATTGAGGCCATGCTTTCCGCCGAGGACGGCGAAAGTGAGAAGGATAACATTGTGTCCTGTCCTTAAGTGTCCACTGCCTGTCTCGCTTACACATATTGTCCTGGTTGTCACAACGGTGGCTCTGGCTGCATTGCCTGGTTCCTCGCCTCAGGTTGAGGCGTGGCTGGGCTTGCTTGAGAAGGGCATTTCAGCAGCCGGTGGACCAGTCGAATGCTTAAAACGTCAAGCAGCAGAACGCAGACAGGTCTCAGGCACGGGTGTAGGGCAGATCAGGCTTGTGGCCCAGACTGCCGCAGTGGGTGAGCCAGACGCCCAGAACAGCCGTGCCTTGCGGTTGCGTAAGGCCCTACAAATAGCGGAGACTGGTTTCAGCAGGTGCCGTCCTGCAGTTCCAGTAAAGAACGCCGCGGGCAAAGGGCATTGGACATCCTAGTCGCTGCCAAAGTGCTTTCTTTGCCGCTTGTGGAGAAGAGGAGCAGCGCGAATAGTCAAGATGCTGATGTGCGACCTTCCTTGCTCTGGCACAGCAGCGGAAGGTATCCCAGACTTGTTACAGGCATGGCATTTCGAACAGTTCGACCTCCTGTCCAACATCCGCCGTGCCCGGACTCCTTGCTGTGGCAGTCGGGGTAGACACCCTTTTCAAGCTTTTCGGAGACTCGTTGCTCCACCTCTTTGTGTCCAGACCTGGCTCCATCGTATCTCCGCTGTCGTCGCTGGCAGTGCGGGCCTCACGCGTCTGATGGTGCAGACCACGGAGTTCGGTCAGTAGCCTTCCTTCCAACCATGCATCGTCGCAACAAAGCTTGAGGGCAACGAGTCCAACTGTTTCCCTGCGGCACTGAGGATTATTTCTGCACCATCGCCGGGGTCCCAGCGAGGAGCAGCCATGCTTGTCCACGAATGCTTGTGGGAGCGTCTAGCAGTCGCAACATAAGCCCAGCCCTTGAATCTGATTTTCAACAACCCTTGGGGAAGGATTATGCAAGAATGCCGAGGTATCCGATGCATTTGGCGAAGCGCAAGATCGGAAGCCGTTGCGCGAGACGGCATGGAGCTGATGTTCTCGGGAGCTGGCATTTGTGGGCCTATCTGGCTGTCCAGATGACCTCAGTGCTGCGTGGCTGTGAAGCATCTGCAGAGGAAGCCGGCTTGTCAATGCCTGCTCCCTTGCCAAGCCGAAGCCTTGCGCTGACCATTGGTGCAAGTTTTGGATTCCAGAGAGAATGTGCCTTGAGGCTGCCAAGAGTGCGGCGCTGCTGCCTGAGTCATCCTTGCATGCTTGACTGATCGTACACTTGCTGAGCGTTGCTTGCATGCGGAGGCAGAGGCTGGAGGGTATGGCGCTGGCTTCGGCACGGGGATCTTCGCTGAAAGCGCGTCCAGCCAAAACCTTTAGCGCCGGGGTGGGGGGGAATTTTTCCAGTGTGCAGTGCGAGATGACATCCTCCGACAGGCTTGTACTGCAGCCAGTGCTGGAAGAAGTGGTATCAAGTTACTTGAGAAGCACAAGGTGCGCTGGACTGATGTTTCTTCAACGATGTGCCTGCTACTACCGTCTATAGCTTGATTGTCGGCTTAGGCAAGCGAGCCGCGGAGAAGACTTGGACCTTGGAGGGTCGTCGCAACCGACGCGAAGTTCATGTTTGGAATGAGTTAGCATGAGCGACAGGAAAACATGCTCTACATAATGGCATGTTCGGAATGCTGTGATTTGAGCGATTGGAACCTCCAGGTGAGGTGATAGCAGGTTTTTCTCCTGTGAAGGCGCCTTGAGCTTGAAGGGTGGAGTTGGCAAGGCTTTGGTGGTTGCAGTTGGTGCTGCTTCGAACACCTGGAAGAGAGTGTGGGGGGCGAGCACCGACGTGCGTTTTAGGCTCTGGACTCTAGATTCGGTTGAAAGGCCGTTCCGTTACTTCTCGAGTAGTTCAGGCAACTCATTGTCAGTATGGACTTCACGAGTCACCAGAAGAACAGCCGGTAGAAACAGACATCACCGCCGAGGGCTGGCATCCGAGCAGAGCAGCATAGATACAGATACACTGGTCACTAGACCCTGTAGCAAAATGCGAGATGGCGTTCACTCTGGAGCACGTGGCCATTGCTTGTGGCGCCTTTGGGGTGATTGCCGGCATCGTGAGCTTCGGCTTTCTCGGCATCGTGCTGTGCCTTGCCTTTCATGGCAGTTGCCTGGCAGTCGGAGTGCGGAATGCATGGTTGTACCGGTACCCCGCACAGGTGGTTTGCTCATGCGCTTTGGCTGCAACAATTTGGTGGGACGACGCCCCGCCCTGCCAACAGCTCACTTAGTCAGTCGACACATTCGACACCAGCAGAACGAGCCGGCTGCCTCTGCAAGGAGAGCGGTGGCTCCGCCGCCGTAAATCGTTTGCCGCCCCTGGCGCTGTCCGCCTTGCTGTCCAGCGGTGTGATGATTGGGCCGAGGCCTCGGTACATTGGCGGCGTTACTTGCGACTGCTGCGGATATTGCCCTGATCTTCGGAAAATTGTCACTGCCACCGCTTATGCTGCGGCTCCTCCTGCAACGATGGCGATGACGACGCGACAACGATGCCATGCAGGGGAGGCGGCGATGATGCCGATGGCCACGACGACGACCGCCATCAGCACACTACCACTACCCGCTGCGTGCAGCCTCCACCACCTCGCTTCCACCTCAACATGCGGCACGACCTGCTTCAAGCCTCCGCAGAGTAAGGCAAAGGCGAGCTTTGCGACGGGAAGACGATCTTTGGGGCAGCTTCCTCACAGGTCCGTTTCTTTGTGAGTAGCAGTATGGGCTTGGGTGCAGTATGGTGCAGAGGTCACGGTTTTAGAAGCGAAGAGGTTGAGCCACTTTCCTCGCGCAGGTTTTCTAGTGACTGCCGTGCCTCGCCGGCAAGGCGAAAAGGTCAGGCTCGTTTCTCCAGGGTGTTTCGATGGACTGCAGACAAATCGTAGTGGCACATGTATTGTTACAGACATCGGAGCTTTTTGTCAGCTCGATTAACGGAAGGCCCTTCATGCTTAGTGACCCATGTGCGTTAATATTCAGCTTGAGAGAGAACACCCGTATGACTTCATGCAAGTTGCTTTCGAACATTCCTTTGCTGATGCCACTGCGGCTGAGGCTCCTGCAGCTGTGGTGACGGTGTTAGGGTTTGCCGCTCGCCAGTCCATAGAATCAAGCGTGGAATTGGTGGGACACTCGATCGCCAACATTGGTTTTGGAAAACGACGTTACGGATATTTGAACTATACGAAATTATGTGTGTTCCTGTATGCTGGGACATTGGTGTGAATCTATGTGCATATATACACCATATAGACCTCAGAATGAAGGGTGTCGGTTTCAGGGTTTAGAATCATGTACTTTGTGTGAAGATGGAGTATGCGAGTATGCCCTCCTATACAACCTATACAAACACACATCTATCTGACTGTCTATCCTATCTATCTGTTCATCTGATAGATATTATCCATCTATCTATCTATCTATCTACACATACATACAGTGTAAGTTATGCACACACCCACACACACATATTATATATATATATATATATATATGCATGTATATTTTTTATGTATATGTATATGTATATGTTTGTGTTTATGTAAATGTAAATGTAAATGTATATGTATATGTATATGTATAAGTAAATGTATATATATATGTATATGTATATGAATATGTATATGTATATGTATATGTATGTGTATGTGTATATGTATAGGTGTATATATAGGTGTATGTATATGTGTATGTTTATGTATATGTATATGTATGTACAGATTTCTTATCTTTCCAGAAGCTGAAGAATCTCATTGTCTTGCCGGACATCGACAAACCTACCGGCACCATATGAGAAGTCATTTGAAGCGTAGACGGATGAAACTCAGAGGCATACCCACGCCTTGCACTTTCACTCGGCTTTCGCAGTGTCGAAGTCCAAGAAACCCTTTAAGAGCAAGTGCAAAGCCAGGCTACGTCTAAGCTTCTGAAGCACCTTTCCTACAAAATGCTAGCCTGCAGTTCCGCGAGCACACCTTGCAGTCACAGCTTTCAGGACCCAGGTAGGACTCAATATCGTGCAGTGCAGACTTCTCGATCACGAGGCATCACAGAGAGGAGCCTTGACCTTGCTGAAGGTCAAGTGCTTCTTCGACATCTGCCGCAACGATAAGGAGCCATCTGGCAAGAAACGAGCATAGCCGCACAGCGAGCTCAGGCGAGCCCGAGGCCCAAAGTTGGCCGAGCTTCGGCCGAACTCCGGCCGAGGCCTCCAGGGAAAATGGCTCTGGGTGCAGTGGCTTGCAGTGGCTCGCCCCTTTGCAGACCGCGCTTGTATGCCTCTCCTGTGTGCAGAAGCTGCTTTTGTCGAGCCTGGTTTTGGTTCTCTGCTTCAAAGGCAGACAGGACTTAGGCACGTCAACTAATTCCTAATTCACTGAAGTCTTGTACCTAAGTCCCTGCTTCGTGTACTCAGCCATGCAGGAGGCAAAAATCCTTCAGCCTTCAGTCGTTGAGCCATCCAGAGAACGCTTTTGAGTGCTAGTGCATCTCCTACACGATGCCACACCAGATTGTAAGTTCAATCAGATTTTGGGCGAATCATGACCTGGCTCATCGAGCACGTGCATTTGGACCCTGCCAAACCTGTCCCCATCTCAGAGTGCATACAGAAACGTTGGTTGCTCAAAAGCTTTTCCAGCGCTGTGAAAGGTGGAAAAGGTGGGCACCAGCGGCGTGCTGGTGGCAGATCTGCCGGAGCTAGGTGCCCGTGAGAAGTGCTGATGAGAGCAAGCCGTGCCTTCGCAGAAAAGGCTTCACTGCACAGGTGGAGCTGCAGCCGTCGCCAGCCGTGACTTCCAGGCATCATATTCGGACGACGGGCGAAAGGGTGGCCATCTTCGCATCGTGCCGTAAATCTGCGCTGCAGCCCCTTGGAGCAAGGGCCTGGGGCTTTGTTTAACTCAGAGTTTTTGGCTGCAGGCCGGCGAGCGCGTCTTCGAAGAGCCAGTGCTCGTCATTGCGCACGATGCCGAGTCGTGACTGGAGTAAGCCGAAGCAGACAAGGTTGTATCCTGTAGCCAAAGGCCGTCAGCAACAAACCTGGCACGTGTGCATCTAAGCATCAGGAGTTGATAGAGGGTGGTGTTTAAGGCAAGTCTTAACCTTTGCAAGCACAGGTGTTCGTGCATACTGCCAGCTTTCTGCGCAAAAGCGACGGCTTCTGCGCGAAGATTTCTTCGGGGAGGACGCCTTGGGCTAACACATGGGCCACTATTCCGGCGTCGTCACACAATGTTATAAGTTAGACATGTTAGGAAAGCGGGCAGCAGATGATCATTTTGGAATTGGATGTTGACTGAGCTATGGACCGAGCTGAGCTATCGCGCATTGCAGGCACCGCCTGTTCGTGCCGGGCTTGGAAGACGTTCGGTGAAGTTAGGTCCGTTAGATGCATAATGCCCAGGCTGTGCAGCAACCGCGGCGTGCAGCGGCGAGGCACTGGCAGTACTGTCGAAGCTTCCAAGGCAGTGATGCAGAACTGTCCAGCGCTCAGAGCCGCTCAGAGGTCTCGGGAGACTCAGCTGCGGAGGCACGTTGGCAGCCTTAGCAGTGGACGTATGCTGACTCGGAAGAACCAACGCTGGCAGGTGCTCGCCACCCTTCGAGCAGAGAGACAGGATGACCTTGACCTAGCCGAGGTCGAGGCGCGATGCTTCGTAGTCGTGGTCGCCACAGGGTTGAGGGGGCTGGCTGGCAGGAAGTCATTCGCGTGTGGAACCTGAATGCCTACGACAACGCCTTGGCACCTGTGGCCTGCAAGGTGAGGGTCGTATAGCCGTACAGGTATACATACAGAGAGAGTGCCGAAATGTGCAGTCGCGCCCTGAGCAGGTGTCGCACTCGTGTGCGCCAAACCTCACCATACGCTCAGCCCTTGCAGCTTGCGTGCTTGGCAATGGGACAATGGTACCCGCCCTGCCATGAGGCGTTGATGCTATCGAAGGCATCATTGAAGGCACAGCTTGCCGGAAGATCGTCGCTGGCGAGGCTCTAGGCAAGATGCTTTGCTGTCGGCATGTGCTTTGGACATCCTGGGGCCACCGCGATGCGTTGCTTTAATGAAGCAATTCCGATGGGGTTCGCTCGCACGAACGCAGCTTTTTTTGGTTCTACTGCGCGAGACGGAGGACTCACAGGACCTGAAGAAGCCCAGGTTCCTGCAATGATGGCCCTTCCAACATGGACAGGTGTGGGAGTGCAACGAACCCCGGAAGCTTTGGTACGAGGGCTTCGGCGCAAGCACTGCTTCGAGCCGCGACGTCGTCAATATCAACTCGGGGCCGACGCTCGGAGTGGCAGTCGGGCATTGGAGACCTTGTCAAGCTCCAGCAGCAAGGACTCCAAGCAGATGCAGCTGCTCGGCATCCGAAACTAGCAGAGCAGAGTGAGTCAAACAGAGCGCGACTCTTGACAACCGCAACAAGCGACGGGAGGGATCCCTCCCTTCCCCAGAACCCTGCCGAAGCAAAGAGAGACCAAGGGCGCTTGCGTGCGGGAATGTGCGGGAGGCAGCACGGTCTTTTGTCTGTGGTGTGGAGGAGGAGACACCGCTGGGGTGAAGACATGGTGCAGTAAAGTGGCAACGTTGGCTAATGATTACGGTTGTTCTTGTGGTCATGAGGCTAGGTGTACCATAATGCGGATGTTGTCAATGCCGAGATGCGGCATTGAGCACAAAGCTGGAGGAACAGTGCCAAGAGAACAGTTGCTCATTTGGAAAAGGCACCGGCCTTGCTCGAAGCGAGGCTTGAAACTTGGCCGGGTCGGGAAATCCTGGGGAGAACCACATTTACATGTGTCGGGAGCCAGTCAACGCCTCAAAGGGGTGTTCCCAACTGGAGCTTCTGATCCCAACTCGAGCCCCCTTCTTCCGCGCACAGCCCGGCATGACCCATTCACCCGTCGCCAGCGCAATCTCAGCGCGAGAGATTGCCTGGGGGTTGAGGGATGCCCTTGACCTCTTGGCTGCAACAAAAATCAGAAGAGAGAGACAGAGAGGTCTTGCGAGAATGAGAAAGAGAGCGAGAGCGAGAGAGATGGACTGCAGAGAGACCAAGGTGCGTTCGCCCGCCGGGGGAAGGGAGCCGGCTTCTGCTTTGGCTGTGCGGAAGAAGAGATGGACAACAAATTCTTGTAAAGACTGAGCCCATCCATACCAAATGATGGATGCGGGTGCAACTGCACGGTACGGGCGGCCTGCCCCCGCCCCACGCGTCGAGCAAAGGAAAGCAAAGATAGTTCAAAGATAGAGATAGACAAAGGGAGCAACAGCAGGCCAGAAGGGGGGTTCCTTAGTTCTTGTCGCAGCACGGGGTCTTCCCCGCTCTCCTGCCCTACCGAAGCCAGAGCTCGCCTCAGACTGAGACTTCCGGTGCGTGCTTGCGAGCGCAGGAAGCCTTTTCTCCCTTGTTTGTGTGGAAGAAGAGAGAGACAATCCGGCGCCCTCCAACAGTTACAGTTGGCTCGCCCCTCATGCCTGGTGAAAGAAAAAAGACAGCCGAAAGTCTGTCAGGACGGGGTTAAGGTGTAAAGGAAAAGAGCAAGTGGAGACTTCAGCACTGCCCGGTTAGGCGGTTCTCGGTACGGTCCAGTGCAGTTCGTTCCTCGAAGTGCCGTTCATTTTAGCCCGACCTTCTTGCTTTTTACTGGTGAAGAAAGCGAAGCCAAGGCGATCTTCAATGCCGCAATCTCTGCCTTCGGGCGGGGTAGTAAGTGGCTTCGTGCCCTTCAGCTGGCCAGACAGATACCTGGACAGGGTATAGAGCCTGGCATTGTGACCACCAATGCGCTGTGCAGTGCCTGTGGCCGGCAATCTGCATGGACCAAAGCTGCCGGCCTTCTGCAGGAAGCACTCGGGCTCAACCTCGAGCTTGGTGCTGTATTTCTTGGAACTAGCGCAGCTTTTCTGGAAAGGGGCAAGCAGTGGACGCTGTGCCTGAACCTCTTGCTGAGCTTCTGCAGGCGGGATGTTGCGTTAGAGGCAGTTACCTGCAATTCGGCCTTCAGTTCCTGCGAGAAGTCTGGCCAGTGGCCAGCCGCACTAAGCCTCATGGCTTCAGCTTGCCACAGTTGGATTTCACTGGATATCGTATCTTGGAGCGCAGCCATTAGTGCCTGTGAGAAAGCAGGTCAATGGCTGCAGGCCCTCTCCTTATTTCGGATGGTTCAGGCAAGTTTGAGCCCCAACTCGAGCCCCAACTCCTTCACACATTCTGCAATTCTCAGCTCGTGTGAGAAGGCTTCACGATGGCAGCAGGCTAGCCAACTCCTGAATTTGCAGAAGTTTTCGCTTGGGCGATTCGAGACACTTCACTGCAACTCCGTTCTCAGCTCTTGCAGGACTAGTGGCTCATGGAAAGTTGCCCTTGAGTTCCTCCAGGATCTGAGCAATCTCTCTGGCCTGAGAGCGAACAGCATCTCCTTTAATTCAGTTCTCCGGTCACTGCTATCCGACGAAGGCTTGAATCGTTGGCAAGATGGCCAGCTTCTTTTGCAACGACTTCTTGCTGAAAGCATGCAGGCGTCTGTCATCACTGGGAACACGCTGATGTCTTTGTACGACAAAGCAAAAAAGTGGAGCCATGCGCAAGATCTTCTTGCTCACCAGCTCTCCTTCTACGGCCTGCCGGTGGATATCATGGCATGCAATGGAGCACTGAGTGCCTTCGAGAAGGGTAGTCAGTGGACCCGGGCGCAACGGCAGCTGACGTGCATGTTGAAATGTGGTCCCCAACCTGAGATTGTGACCCTTGGCGGATCCATTGCTGCCTTGGGTGCTGCCCAGCTTTGGGAGCACTCCCTGTTGCGCTTCGGTAGCATGAGTGAATTCAGATTGAAGGCCAATAGCGTAACGTTCGGTGCGGTACTAAATGCCTGCGACAGAGGGCAGAGCTGGAAAGCTGCATTGGCTTTGGTACTTGCTGCGAGGCGCGATACCGCAGAACTAGGTGCTGTGGAGTTTAACTCTGCGATCACGGCTTGCAGCTCCAGCCACGTGACGGATCATGCGCTCGCATGTGCCCGAGAGATGCTGATTCGCAGGATTATGCCGGACCGCGTTACCTGCAATGCTTTGCTCGCACTGTACGGACGCGCTGGCATGTGGAACGAGGCTATCGGCCTGTTGCGGCAGACGACGCTTGTGCCGGGTCTGACGTTGCCGCCGCTCGCACCAGACGTGCTGAGCTACAGCGCGGCTCTTGCTGCGTGCGCGAAGGGCTGTCGGCCATATGAAGCAGAAGGTCTTCTGACGACCGCGAAGTCTTCGCGCATAGCCTTGGACTTGCCAGCAATCAGCAATGCAGTATCTTCCTTTAGGCAGGCTAGCCTCTGGCAGCAAGCTTTGGGCTTGGCGCTGGCCATGGACTCCATGGATGCAGTTCTGTTGGAGTTGGCTTCGGGCGCAGCGGAAGTTGGAGGTTGTCCCACTTCCGCCGTCGAGCTCCTGCATGCGGCGGCTTCGACCGCCCATCTCGGGATTCGGGGTGCTAGCAGTAGCTGCTAGGTTTTAAGTTACAGCCCAATGGCTCGCCGGACTGCTGTCGCAGAAAGATGAACAGTTGTTTTTCCTGATAGCTGCGACCATCAAGGAAGAAGATGTCGCTGTTTTTCACACTTTGCCACTCGGATCTCGGTTGTGATCATGTTCAGTTCCATTGCCAGAGGCAGCTGGTACATTCAAGACACGGGCGTCTGGCGCCGTCCCTGGTGTTTCGGACACCGGCAGCTGGCGACATCAGCTGACATCTGAGTTTCGAGGTGGATGGGTGCTGACATTCGTCGGAGTTTCCTGAAGCAAGATCGTGGCTTCAGCTGCCTTTGCACTCGCTGTCAGAGCTTCGCGCTCGGACGTTTAGCAGTTTAGCCCATGACAGTCTCCTCCCCTTCTCCAGTGCACTCTGTCTTTCTCTTAAAGTGGCCTGCCAAGACTGGGCTCAAGGGGATGCCAACGTAGCAGCTAATGACCACGAGCAACTCTGCGGATTGCACCTACATGCACGTGTCGTGGGCCATGGGGCATCGCACCCTGCAGTAGGTCAAGGGTTAGTGGTAAGAGGAGCTCGTCGCGCCCCAAACAGCTTCCAGTCGTTGGAGTCAGAAGGCAACTCATGTCCAAAAGACCGCTAGGTTTTTGGCATTTAAAGCCTTCCTCTTCCGATGTTGGAACATCGACCCACATACAGCTAACATCGCGGATGCTTGCGGACCTTCCTCTTCTCGCTTTTTGTGTTGTCTTGCTGTTGCCAGCTGAACTACAAAGAAGAAGAAGCGACAGAGCGGCGCAGGGCATTAGAATCACGGTAGTTGGCTTCCCTTCCGATGGTGATGACAAGCTGCAGCTTTTCGGCTTCAAGCTAGTGAACGCGAAGCAACGTTCTTCTGAGCCTTCGCCAGCCAACTCCAGTTAACTCCAGCACCCGACGCTGAGGGCTTCACTAGCTAGGCGTCTGACCTTCGTTGCACGAAGCAATGGCCAGCGTACAGTATGGAGGCACCCAGAGCCATTCGCGGCGCCTTTGCACGCTGAAGATCTTTGGCACATCGGAAATATTGCAGATCCCCATCGAGGTCACAACCAAAGTTTTGGCAGTTCGCCAGCTTGTGTCTTCGAGAGTCGGTCTGGAGCCCGAGAGCCTCACCTTCGTTGTGAAGTCTGCGTCTAGCACCCGGGTGCTGCGAGACTCGGACGAGATCCCCTCCCAGGCCTCAGATTCACTCTTGATCCCTGTTCAGAGGGTTGTCAGGTCTCGCAGTCCGGGGATGGCAGACGTTGTAGCTAAGCCTGGGCCAGCTTCAGTTCTTCAGATAGACGTTGCAGCAGGGGAAGCCCGACAAATGCAGGTGATCGTTCGGGGACCTCTCAATTGCTGGCAGAAGCAGAAGGCGGTCTACCCGCACCCGCACTGCATCATCGGCGCAGGGCACGGGGGCCTGAAGCAGGGTCTTGCTTTCCTCAAGGATGCGGACTAGCTTGCACGGTTTCGCGTGGTTTGGGGAGATTTGGGGAGTCATATTTGCAGGAAGTTTTGGGATCAGCAAACTTAAACGGGGCCGGATAGGGATTGCGAGTGAAGCCCTGGAGGATGGAATTCAGGATTTTGCCATTTACGACAAGCTAGGGCGCATCGGAGGTGCTGCCTGGGTCATCAATGCAAACCCTACCTCGAAGCTTCAGACGGAATTGGGAGTGTACCACCTGCAGTATGACCCGGACTGTCTGGTGCCCAAGGCCTTGCGAGGGTTGCTTCACAAAAAACTCAGCTTAGAGCTAAACAACGGGGGATTTGGGTGGGTGAGGACATGAAGACGTGGCCGACTCGCGATGATTTGCTGGACCACTTCGAGCGTGTCTGCAGGGAATTTGGGCTACTCGGCCACATTCATCTGAACACAGAAGTCACCCGTATCGACCGCATCAACCTGAAGATGCTGGAGCCGGAGGCATCGCCGCGCAAGTATGTCTACAAAGTTTCGGTCAAGAGGCCCGTGTTGAAAGAAGCAGACACCGCAGACTCGGCCTCCAAGCACAAAGAGGAAGGCGAGTCTTCAGCAAACGCCCCGGCTCTCTTGGACCCTTTGGGTTTGGGCTTTGACGAGCTGGAGTTGGAGTCCCCCGACCCCGAAGACATTCAAAAACCTGAGGAAATCCAGATGCTGGATTTCTCCACCATTGAGTGCTATCCTGGAGGTCTCACTGACAATTTACGCATGGAGTTCAGGGGTGAGGACATCTTTGAGGGCAACATTGGGTATGGTATGTTTGACGAGTTTGACTACACCTCCGTCGCAAACTCGGCTGTCGCGATTTTTGGAATGGGTGCTTTTGGCGTAGAGAATGTCAGAACCTGTTTGGAGCATGGTGCCGCAAAAGTCACGATCATCTGCAGGAGGAGAAACATCGCAATTCCGAGAGTAGTAGACTGGTTCATAAACCAAAGCCTTTACCCACCTCCGGCTGCGATGGTGCTGGACGCCATGAAGCCGATGTATAATTTTCTGGACGTGAATGTTTGGGATTTTTACGCTGTGCAGGCGAATTCTGACCGAACGAATGCAACGATCCGACAAAAGTCTCGGTTTGGAATTGGTGACTTCTATTTTCTTGCGACGTGTTACGGAAAAGCTGAGACGGTGGTCGGTGAAATCAAGCGCCTTCGTGCGACCGATATTCTTCTGGAGTCATCGGAAAGTGTTGTGGCTGAGCATTTCATCAAAGTCCTGGGTTTCAAAGCGGACCCGAAGATAGACAAGCTCTTCAGTACAAGGGTGGCCTGACTCGGTTTAAGGCCCCCGTGGTGTATAGGTAGTCACGCGGGTGATGGTTCGGCCCCAGGAAATGGTGGGTTTCTTCCCGAACGGGGATTGGAGAACATGGGTCTGCTGCGAGTTTCCTGGCATCGATGCTGGACGCTTTGGGGGCACGTCGTTGTCGCCCTCCGCAATTACTAACGCGGAAACCCAGGTTGCACATATTCGGGCCTGCCTTTGCATTTAGTTGGCTTGCGGCTTCCGAATTGCTTTGGAGGTTATGCTCTGTTGGACCGCTGCCAATAATTGTGTATAATGTATATTACGTTGCAAGATATGGCGACTCATGGCGACAGCTAAGGAGATGATGAAGTGGTGCATCAACTATCCACGCGAGATGCTCGCGTTGCTGGATGCGAACGTCCTGCCCCGTCAGAAGGCAGACAGCAAAACAGGACGGCCAGCCTACCAGTTTGAGCCGCGAGCGGGAGGCTGGGGAAGTTATGGTTCCTGGGAAAAGGGGCGGAATGTGGCATGTTAGGCATGTTCGATTGGGTATATTTTCATCTGTTTTCCTTGCCCCTTTTTCCAGCCCAAATCACGATGGTCACCGTCGGGAGCCTGCCTGGCCTGGCGGAACTGCCCGAGAACGGGGCCCTGCTGAAAAGGCCGCCGGGAGCTCTGAGACTTGTTGTACTGTCATGATTTCTTGAACGCATCCATAGCACGCTATCGTCCGTCAAACGCTCTACATAATTACCGAGATACATGGAACCACTTGCAGTGAGTGGATGAGTGGCGCAGGCAGAAGATGCTGACAGCACATCCCATGGAAGGCGCTCACGTGCTGAAGCCATGTCGCAAGTTGTGCTGTCAAACTGTGCCTTAAGAACATCTCCTCTCAAGGAACTAGGCTCAGTAGGCCGCCGAACGTGATCACTTCACTCAACACCGAATGCGACATGATGTATTTGAAAGTCTTGTTACATTGCGTTGTTTTCTTTCCTTTGATTCTGCCGTCGCTGCTTTCCTTCGGCTGCCATTATTGAATCGGTGCTACATGCTTCCTTGGTTGGTTTACTTTGCTGTTTACTTGGTGTACTTGAACTTTGCCCTGGGCTGCATCTGTATGGTGGTCGAACGAAGGCTCCGCCTGGTAAGGAATTCTAGCTGTTCGCAGTCGGAGAAGGGCCGGCAAGATAAAGTATGTATGAACGACCCTCCAAAAAAGGCTTGGTTGGTCGGAACTCAGACTCACTCTTCCTTTCAGCGGGCCGTGATGTTGAGCTTGCAGCCTAAACTTGCCTTTTAAACCTTAAGTAAACCGGAAAACTGTCCACTGTTCTGTCAAACTTACCGTGTAATGAGGGTTTCGTCCTTGCGAGGTAAGGGGAAAACCAAACCGGACCTCTCTACACTGCCCCTTTTGCCAACTTCATCACATCAATTTTGCCTCACTGATGGCGCTTTATGTTTCGCAGTGTACGTCGACGAGTGTGCCAATGAGTGGTACGATTATTGCCAGATGTTCCAGGACACGGGGAGAGCGCCAGTATGCGCCAGTGCTGGGGCACTTCATCGCAGACAAGGGTTGTCGCCGAGAATTGCATTGTTCCTGCTAGAGGAGCGTGGCGATGACCGGCCCTTTCCCACCTACCCGTACACCCACGAATACGTTCGAGAGCGTGATTCCCAGAGTCCCAGAGCATGTGCAAGTATTCCTTTGGAGGCAGAAGGTCGGATTAAGTCCACGTGTGGCAAGCGAGGCTCTGCAACCGGAATGACCGCGAGGGCAAGGCAGGGAGATTTGCGTTGTCAGGGCATTTAGGCTGATATCCCGCCTGTTTAGGAAGACAGCGATGCGATGGCAGCACGAGCTGCGGGGAGGTAGAAACGGGGGAAGCATGCCAGGGCATGTCAGTACGTCACCCTGTGCTCAACCAGTGATCTTGCAAGCGAGCTTCCAACTGACTAGCCTCCTGGCCCTTATGGTTTCACCGACATCTCTTTGCGCGATCAGCACCGCAAAATACTCGGGCCGACCTTCTGACAAAGATGTACGAAAAGCGCTGGTCGGCGTGCAAAGATTCGTGTGCCAAGGCCCGGATGCTTGCAGAGCCCTGCCGGGACCTAGTTTCCTGTCTTTTTTTTGTTCACGCTGCTAGCTTGAGGCCTTGTGACGCTTGCGGTGCCGGGACAGAGCAAGCCTCGGAGTCTCAAATCACTGGGAGACTTGTTTAATGCTTTGCGGCGTTCTAGCCACACAAACAGCGAAGGTGCTGCCACAGGGGCACTCACGAACCGCCTCGGAGGCTGGAAGTTGAAGTTTGAAGCGATTGAGGGCTCGGTTGTTAACCAGCCGCTAAGTAGAAAGACAAGACTAAGACGGTCGAAGGAGGTACAGCTAGAGGTGGAACTGCCATTGAGGCCCAGCCTACATGGCACTGTGCCTCCTGCAGTCCTTGGCTTGGCAAGGGAGGGCCAAGCAAGCTTCCGCTTCTTTCGCAGAGGGCAAGATGTCCATGAGATGATTCCAAAGGTCGGGACACCCTCAGCGGCACAGCTGACCTACTTTAGTTGGCACAGAGGTCGGTGGAGTGCAACTGGCCATTTCTCTGCCAGGTGACCTGCATCGCAGCACAGCAGAAGCACAGTTGACGCTCGGCACACAGCCCCCGCAGCACCTGTTTATGGCTGCAGACCAGCGAGTGGAACAGCAGGCATCGCATGCTTCTGGAGCCTGGCACTCGAGAATTCCTAGGATTGCCGCACTACGATGCACTTACGACGTGGCTAGGTTCCAGGGGGATTTCCGAAGCTTCAGGGTTCGTCGTGTTGAGGCTCAAGCCGCCGCGTGGTGTGCCAAAGGCCAGTCCTGAGGAGTCTCTGTAAAATTCTGATTTGCCGGGTCCCTGCAATTTGCTGAGAACTTCTTTCAGGAGTTGGTGGCTTTGGCTGGTGATGTGAGGAGCAGACTTGGTGGGCTGCCCATCTTTGTTCACCTTAAACGTTCCATACGCCGTGCGCCGCTTCACCAAAGTGGAGGTGATGAGCATTGGATCTCTGCGGCGGCAGCGCCAGTGAGCTCAGACGCGGAGCTTTCGGAGCCTCCTTGCGCTGCCTTGAACTCCAGCATTGCCCTGCAGCGACGGAGGCTGGTGCTCCACTTCCGCTGCCGGCCTGAGGGCGGGCTGCAGGGGACCTTTTCCAGTCTGCATCCTGTGCCACCTCAGAGGGGGCATTTGCGCTCAAGGCTGAACCCCCTGTCTGTGGCTTGCGGCTGTCGTTTCCTGGGCTGGCTGCTCGTCGGAGCCTTGTTGCGGAATCGATTTTAGCAAGCTTCCACTTCGCCGTCGCTGAAGGACAGGAAACTGCCACTCCCTCCGGCACCGATTGTTCGCGATCGGCCCAGACCGGAGCACAAGCAAAACTTCAGGTGCCCGAGGTCCTAGCTTGCCTGCCAGGCACACCGATTGCCGTGGCCATAGACTGCATCGCATGGCTCGGCGGCTTCCCTAGTTCTGTGGCTTGGTTTTGTTGGCGAGCTTCAAAGCTCAGTGCTCGTGCTTGTGCGGGTTGAGCGAGGATATTGCCAGGGGCCGTGGGGCCATGGGGGGGAGAACGAGCAGAGGAAGATGAGATAGCGTGCAGTGTGCAGCCCCTCACGCGTACAGTTGATCATAAGTTGGCGGCCACCGCTTGCCTTTGGAGATTGCAATTGTACCGCAATTTGGATCGGGAGACGTGGCATACTCTTAGGCTTTCAATCAGTTTATCCCAACTTGCTGGTGGGGGGACTCGAGGGCTTTCGCTGAGATCTGGAACTTTACATCGATGAAGTGGAAACACGTCCAGCCTGCTAACGCTGTCGTCACAGCAAATCGTAGCTCGCTTGCCGGTTTCCCTGCGGAGACTACTGGCGTTTCAATATCACCATGAAGTGGAAGCTTTTGCCACAGTGCCATAGCCACCAATCGTCTGTTTCCTTCATGCTGCGGGAAATGCCTCGAGGTCAGGTGCCTGAGGTCGTGCGCAGCTTACACCACCAAGCATATTGAAGACAGAGCAGCCGCAGGTGGCCAGGCTTGGAGTTTGATCCCAGGCCTCCGGGGCTTCGCAAGCTTTCCGCTGGCGCGACCAAACGATCAAGGATCAACGCAGTGTCGCTTCACGTCTGCCGAGATCTGAGTCCAATTGCCTGTATGCCGTTTGCGGCACTGCGGCAAGGGCGTTGAGCTGAAGATTGCCAGGGTTTTCTCCTTGCCGGCATGCGCACAGGTTGCAGGATTGGCTTCTGCCAATCTTCATGGCCACGGGTGGCACCATCGCCAAGGCAGTGCGGAAGAATGCTTCTGTGCAGTGCGCCGGCTTTTGTCTGCTGGTCTCGGTAACGTTTCAGCAGCCAGGTCGCCAACACTGGAGCTCGCGTAGCCTCCTTGAAGGAGAGAATGCTGTAGAGTGCTGTAGTCTGTTGTGTCTCATTCAACACAATCCCTACTCACTGTTCCTAATAATGCGAGCTGCCGGAGGAGTGGCTGTCAAACTTGTCCGGGCCCATGATGCTTTTCTTGCGGCAGTTGTTGGTCTTTTTGTTGTTGCCTTGACTGCAGGAGAAGCACATGCGGACACTGCAGCAAGAAGCTGGATGTCAGGGCCCCGCATAGAAAGATGCAAGCTTTGCCCGCAAGCTGCACCAGAGAACATATGGAAATTAAGGGGCATCAGCTTGTCTGCGGCCGCTGCAAACAGGCAGGGCATAAAACACGTCGCAATGTTGGGGATGTGTTCGGTTCGAGGGTCGTTTGTGGAGGTTCGCTATTGCAGCCGCGCTTGTCAGCAGGCCAACTGGAAGGACAGCCGAGATTTCAATTAGCTTGTGGCTGGCGTATCAAGGAGAAGGAGATGGAGAGACCGAAAGACGAGAGACCAGAAATGAACAGTTGCTTTGGCTCACACAAGCCAAAGGGCTCTCTTGAATCACTGGGGCGTTTCGATCACGCGAGGGACCGTGAACCCGTCGCCGCGCCGACACCTTGAGCAGGAAAGGAATACGGAGGGACAGAGGGTGGGTCCCTGATCGCAGCGTTAGATTCGCAGTGGTATGTCCGTGCAGAAAAAGTTCTGGTTTTCTCGAAAGGAAGAGTTCCGGTTCTCAATGGGCAAAGAAGAAGTACAAGAGTCCGCATGTTTATAGTTTCGATTCTTCTGATCCTGCCGAACGTCCATAATTCCGCCAGGTGCTTTTGGCCGTCGAGATATCGCCTAGTTTCAGCCTACTGACTCTCATCACGACTCGGCGCCTTGAGTTTTTGAGGACCACAAGGGTGGTTGCTTGCCCATCGCAGAGTCGTGGATACCTGAGAGACCGACAGCCGACCAGCCAGCACGTGGACAGCTTGTCCATCTGTGACGTCGCCTTCGGGCATGTTCGCGTATGATCAGACGAGGGAAGCTTGCACGCCAAGGCTTGCTGGAGTTGGTTCCTCGGTGTCTCCAGCCAGCTCCAGTAACTGTAATGCAATGCATAGTTTGTCAGCGTACTCGGTGCGTACATCTGGCTCCAGCTGGTACAGACATGGTTCCGGACCCACGAGTCCCCCTGACCGACAAGTTTGCAGACTTCGGCGGCATTAGGAAGGCAATAGAAGCTACATGAGGCAGCGCCGAAGACAGAGGCACCAATCTCTTGGTTCGTGAGATCAAGTTGGCTGTGAGTGGGAGTTCGGCCATGGTGCTCGGCGATATTCGGCGATGGCATAGGGCCTGAATGATCCGACGCTCGTCGAGAAGTATTTAGCGCTGCCGGGCACCGAAAGGAGCCCACACCCAGTCCAAAGAAGCTAAGGCCCAGCAAAGCATGGCCGGGCCGACAACGTCCCAGGATCCGCTGACATCTTTGCTCGGCACCTATGGAAACAAATTATGCGGAAACTCGCGACCAGTCGTTCAAGCGCAACCGCTTGCCAAGGCTGGCCACTGATCCGGTGTCTTCCTAAGACTCAGGATCTTTCTCGGGACCTGGCCCGGTGCTTCGTTGCCTGAGGATTTGGGTCGGCAGCTGGAAAGCCGAGTGCTGCGGTTCTCAGCCAGTCACAAACTTCAACACACCCAGGCCCCCGGCCTTCGTAGCTCCATGTAGCTCCCTCGGGTCCTTTATCGTCCACCCCTGAAAGGTCGACCGAATCCCACAGGCTGGGAAGCAACTGGGCGCAGTTGTTTTGTTGTGCTGCTTGCTGGGCCCAGGCCAGCTCACCCGTGGCCTCCAAGTCTCCAGAAGTTGCCTGGCACCTCGGAACTTTTCAGCATGGTCCGACTAAGCTGGTCTCAGTTTTGCACGCTGGCCGTGAAATTCTCCGAATCGACGTGCAGCGCAATGCTTCGGCCAACGCTAGGAGCGAGGAGGAGACGACCGTTTACGTGGGAAAGCTACTGCGGATGCAGCACCCGGGACATCCTGGTGCGGAAAAGGCGGTGGCACAATTCCTCAAGGCACCGGGTGCATTCGAGAGTGAGAAGCATGAGCCATGAGCGGCTTGAGGACAGAGGGTCACGCATGCGTGTCCTGTGCCGCAAGCCGGATCAAGCCGGAGTAGAGCACGTAGCTGTCGTAGTCGATGCAACCTTGAACCAGAACAGGCACTGGCCCAAGAGCCCGTCGGCGTGTCTTCACAATAGAGACCACGATGAATGCTCGACCGCCTGCTCCAGCACGGCGGTGGAGCAGCCGAAGACACAGCTCTTCCAGAACATGAGGACTATCACCAGAAGCAGTTGCAGAGGATCTTGCGCATGGTTTTTGGCCGAACCTGGTGCCTTGTCGCCTCGTCCCGATGTTGGTGGAGGTTTGTCAGATCGTCGCCCGAGCCACAGGCAGTGGGCTTCGCACTGAGGTTCGATCCCCGGTGATGGTAGCGCACCGCAAGCGAGGAGGAGTTGCAGTCCCAGAGAACATATTGATCCAAGGCGTTGCCGTCGTGACTTCGTTGTAAAGGGCGAGTAACTCCGTTGTCCTTTCCGCCTGCCAAGCTGAAATGAGCATGAGCCATACTTTGCAGAAGATAAAACAAGCCACACCAACCCACAAGGCGAAGCCGTACAGATAGACACCAGGCTCATGAGCGCTCAGGCAAACACGTGACTCCGAAGAAGTAATGTACGGAGAGTTGAGTGAGTAGAGTGCAGACAAGCCCAGGCCATGTACCAGTTTTTTTTGGCCTTTGTTCGTTCCAATTCGTTCCTGATTCTGATCGGACCCCAGCAGGCGACTGGGATATCGACGATTGATTTCCATTCGATCTTGAATATTGTGGCCTCGGGTCCCAAAATGGCCACCGTGAGGCTGGAAGGCTCCAGCTTGTTCGCCGGGCAGTCGTTTTGGAAACCGGTGACGCCGGTGACGGGTGCCGAGTGTCGTGCGCGGGCAAAAGAGTTCGACGCTCTGCAGATGCTTCGAGGCTCAGGCCCAGGAGTTGAGTTGTCGTCCGCGAGGACTTGCTCGGCGAGGTCTCCCTTCCCGAGCCTTGGGCCGCCTGGGCTTACCAAGGGTACATAGCCGAAGCCGGAAGCGGCTGAATGTCCAAGCAGCCAAAGCCCATCTTCAGGTGTCCGCAGTGTCCTTTCTGAAGCTGAGGTGATGCTGCGCAGCTCTCGCGGCCGGGTGTTCTTTTGTAACATGGCCACGAGGCCTTCTGGCAGTGCGTGGTGTCACAGGGAACATCCGTGATGAGATCCCTGCCCTTGCAAGGCAAACCACCTGGGACCATCCACTTGAAGGTTCCCTGCTAGAGGCGGCTACGCTGCGGCCTCGATGAGGCTAACAATGTCTCGGCTCTGTATACTTTGAGTCATAGAGCACAATGTAGGGCGTGGTGTGATGCTGCCAAGGATCTGCAAACAAGTTCTGCAGCTTGATGAACCCTGGCGGGCCCCTGCCCAAGACATGTCCACATGCTGATGCTGCGGCATGAAGAAACTCACAAATCCCCCTCAGGCGAACCTCACGGCACATCTCCTGGAAGTGGTAGAGTCTTGGAAGCCATAATCACGTTGTTCTGTGTGAGGACAGAACGAGCATCAGTGCGGCAGCAAGCTTGCAAGGCAGAGGACGAGGAAGACTTCCTTGGAAAATGGGATTCAGTTCCTGCTGGTGACGGTCTCGAGAATCCTTGCCGCACAGTCCCGGAAGCATTTTCACATTCAGATGGCGGAGATGATTGAGTTGTAATGAGGCTGTCGCAACACCCCCGTCGTGTCTTCGTTTAAGAGTTTTGAGATCCGAAGCATCACTCTTGTCCGTCGGACTGTCCCAGTCTGTTCGCCCGGATTGCTTGGCTGAGGCAATTCAGACACACTGAAACTGGCTTGTTTTCCTGGACGCCTCCGCGGGAGATAGCTGCAGGGCTGCTTGTCTTGCCATGTCTTATCTATTGCCTATTGCCCGTATGACAATCTCGGGAGAATATCTCGCGCTTTCCATTGGTGCGACCCGCAGAGGCTGTTCCAATGCAAGCGAGCAGCACTTGCGAAACTTTGCGACGACAGGCGCCACCGACATGTTAGCCCTGACAACGTCAGTCAAGGAAGCCGATAACGGTGGCCCAGCCAGCTCTAAACGCAACACTGTCGTAGCCTCTACCCCAGTTGTTGTTTGGTGTTGAAGCTGCGCAATGCTAGAATTCTCATCTGGAGTAGAGTGATCCAGAGGCACAGTTTCGTGTTCAAGAGCTGGGCACTTTGCACTCTATTGCGAATGGCTCCGGCGAAGGTACGTCAGGCAACTGCAGCTCCAGGAGCCCAGCATATATAGCATGTTTGTCTTGTGGTTGTTGAACTGTTGGGGACGCTGATGGAAGATTGCTGAAGATGATGCATGTCACAGGGCGAGTCCGGAATCTGAAGCTTGAGCTGTAAATCCAGGACCCCGCACCCGCCGTGCAGCTGGAAGCTCGAGACTGGGCGGGTCTTATGTCACGTAGCTTTCTCCACTGGCAGTTCTCATTGTCACTCGCACACCAACTCAGGAAAGAAGAATATTTCTGCAGCTATCCGGACCGGGGCGGGCTGTCTCTTTCAAGTGGTCCTGCGGAATGTTGTAGAGTCGACGGTTTTGACTGAGCTCGCCGACTCATCCCTCTGTATCCAGTCACCACCGCGCCGATCCATCGCCCGGCGCCTGCATCAGTGCCGGCAGCGGAAGCACGAGCACGAGCAGCCACGCAGCCGCGACCACCTCTGCACCGCCACCGCGACCAGCAGTGCAGCAGCAGCAGCAGCTGCACCACCACCACCACCACCACCACCACCACCACCACCACCACCACCACCACCACCACCACCACCACCACCACCACCACCACCACCACCACCACCTGATCATCATCATCATCATCATCGTCATCCTCCGTAGCTTCGTATCCGCAGCAGGATGCTCATGGAGGCAGTCGATGACACGTCGCAGGGGAGTCGCACACCCTCCCGACCTGCCTCGGAGATTTTGCCGCGCCATGCAGCTCGGCATAAGAGCCATTTACCATCACAAGGCCCGATGCGACACTCGAAGTGCATGGGTGTAGTGCCATTGGTGTGAGATGGCCATGATGGCCGTGGTTGGGGCCCAAGGTGCTGTCGGGCACCACCAATGCTCTTCTTGCCCAGTCGGACAAGGCGCGCCGAGCTGAAGATCGGGAGAATGCCTCAAGGATCAGTTGAATTGGCCTCCTGACATCGACCACCAGTCACGAGAACGTTTCTTCTCTCCACAGCTGGCACGTGCTGGCACCGACACTCGCGTTTCTGGGTGCTGTTTGGCCCGAGTCTCGGCTCCGAGCCGAAACCAGCGCTGAGCGCAAGCCCAGCGCCGAACGAAGTTGAAGTCCGCGGCAGGCTCGGGTTTGATTTGAGGATTGGCCATGGTTGTAGAACCGTCTGTCACAAGAAGCGCTGCGTAGTTAGACAGGGTCCCAGTCAAGATTTGCCTTACGTATCAATCAGAGAGCAACACACGTCTTGCGGGGGAGACAGCCTTCTGTGGGGCATGGCGGGTCCGGAGTGTTTCGGGGTCAAGTCTTCCAGACTGGGCCGATGACTGGCGAGTAAGAATCTTCAGGTTCGTGGTGGAGTCGTTCCATCTGTTACCGGAAAGCGTGAATCACAGCGTTTTGTGAAAACTCCTGGGAAACTCCATTGTGCCTCTTGAGGCGTTCAGTCTGCACTGAGGCAGCATGGCCGCGGCATCGGAGGAGACACCACTCCTTGCACGAAAGCCAGATGCGGAGGCGAAGCGCGGCTGTTCCGTTCAGGGCTTCGCTTCTGTCATTATTCGAGGAAGAACCTTGCCACTGCCTGGAGGAAAATTTCGATTCTATGAATTACGACGCGCGCAAGTTGGTCACGTTTGCGGCCAGACTGCACCCTTTACTCTTGTTTTCGAGCGTCTTGTTAAAAGAGACCGACATTACATTCATAATCACATTGATGAAGCCTTTTGACTGTGTACTGCAGCCCCTCCTCAACAAAGAAAGGAAGTCTTCTGGAATTTCAGTGGGACAGTATGGATGAAATCGTCTTTGTGGAAGATGATGGGCATTCTTCTCATGATCGCGCTGTGCATCGCCTCGTCTGTTGCTCTGATGGTAAGTGACCCGGCCGCCACCTAGCCGCATCCATCCGGCTGAAAGGGTTTTTGCTGCATCTTTGCCGGTCGCAAGGTGCCGTAAGCTCACGGCGGGGCATTAGTGACAAGTCTAAGGAGCTCGATGTTGGACGCTTCCAACGCATCAGTACATTCTTGGAGGTTGTGGTGGGGTTGCTGCTGGGTTTCTTTCTTTCGAGCTCCGTGCAGCGCTGGTACAATTGCACGAACGGCTTCCTGGAGCTCTTTGATGCCATTCGATCGCTGCATATGCAGCTCAATGCACTTGGAGTTCCGAAGGAGCGACTCCGTTTGTGCTTGCGCTACTGTGTGGTGTCGGCCCATTGCTTGGACAACGACCTCATTGCCTCAGCCATGGCGCCCAGCGAGCGCGTGGAATTTCTCCGAGGCCAATGGGACACTCTTGCTGCGGATGCCGAGGACGGCGATGTCTTCACAGACCGCTCAAAGAGCTTTGCGACGCTGCTTCCGAGTGAGAGGGAAATCCTGAAAAAGATCGAGGACCCAGCCCAAACGCTTTGGGTATGGGTGACCTCACTCCTCACACGGATGGCAGCGGATGGGGAGACCCCTCCAATTCCGAGCCCCACCTACGGCCGCATCATCACAATTGCGGAGCAAGCCTATAGCGGCATCCGCACAGTTCGAGCCTCCATTCGGGTGCAGCCTCCCTACGTGCATGTTCAAATGATGGCGGCACTTGTGCTCGTCAACAATTTGATCAATGCCGTCAGCTTTGGCATGACGGCGGGCGTGACCGTCAGCATGTGTCTCGCTCGCTACCACATCAGCCCCAACACGAGCAAAACACCAGGCCAGACGTGCCCTTCCTTGAGACATTTCCAGATATGCTTGATCATGTTTGGTTCCTTGTCATGGAGAGGCTCAGCCGATGTGTCCCATAGTCTACAAGACTTGGCCGTTGGATTGATTCTTGCGACGGTTGGCCCATTCCTGTACCAGGCCGGTGGACGTACCTTTGTACCTTTACCCTTTGGCCTGCTTGCCTTCTTACGGCATCTTGCGGCACATTGCATGCTTCTTCCAGCTTTGGGAGGCGCTCTTGGAGGTCGCCGTCTGTATAGCGCAGCCGTTCACGGCAGCGGGTCATGATTCCAAGTCCCCTGGACGAATCCCCACGGAGAAGCAGCTTGGGTCTGCAGATAGCAGGAAGCGAAGCAGTCAGTCTTGGGGCAGTCTTGGGGCACATCTTATCCTGCCCATCAGTATCGTGCTGTGCAGTTTGGTCTTGCGCAGCTCAGCTGAGGCTCCTGTGCAACTTGGAAAAGGATTTGCGCGACATTGAGCACATGAGCCTGAATCTCCCTTGGCTCCTCGGCTGCAGTCAGAAAGCCAAAATTGCCGGTTGGCGAAAGGCTGCCTGGTTGGCTCCAAGACCGACCGGACGGCTGACGAAAGCGAAAACATACTCGCCCACAGCCAAGATCCTCGCAATTACAAGGTTCTTGCCTACATTTTCCCTGCAATAGTGTCAATGAATCAGCGTTGTCGTCAAATTGTTGTCACGGCTTTTGTGACTTGTGTCAATCATCAGCCCCGGCTTAGCCAGAATCATCATCAGCATTATCGCCATCGTCATCTTGTTATTGCAATCTTTTTCATCGGAACAGGTTTTCCTAACGGGAACAATGACTCGAGTACTTGTACTAAAATTCAACACTGGGTGGGAACGGACTGAACCGGGCTGGTGGACGTGGTGGGTGTGGTCGGGTGGTGACGGGGTGCTCAGAAACCCTTGGAAATTGGGCCTTGGTGTTCCGCAGACTCCGCAGATCTGTTTGGCCTGGCCGTTTGCAAAACGAGGTGGAAGCAGACGTACTTCAAGTCGTCATGCCCGGCTCCCAGAACAGCCTGCAGTCCACTGCGGGTTTGATGAATGCTGCAAGCGCTCGGCAGCAACTTGGGAAGCTCCGAGGAATCGAGCTCAGCAGGGCAGTGACCTGGACCCATGCTGCGTCACACGGGCAGCTTGCAAAAGTCCGACGTCCACTCGAGGGTTTGTCATCGACTTTCTGCGGTAGCTTTTGGAGCATGCACCCCAGTCAAGTCTTTAGGGATGCTGACGGATCTGACGGCAGGCTGGCAGAGCACTCTCGGCAACCAGCGGCGAGACTCCTTTGGATTCCAGGGCAGACACGCCGTCGGCTCACAGCCGAACTTGGGAAGCCCCGTTGCCAGAAGACGGCAACCACGGCAACCTGGAGGCTGGAGAGCCAAACGATGCAGGTTCCGAAGCTCGCAAGCCGACAGAGGAACTGCAGCAACAGCGGCAAGACCATCAGGAGGCAGCACAAGTGTCACAAGAGGACCTTCGTGATGATCAATCTGCGAAGTTTGTGATTCATGAGGACGACACTTGCGAGGCGCCCGCTAGGGGCATCCTTGAAGCTGAAGCAGCGGAGGCCTTGGCACAACCCCCGACCAAGACCGAGGAGGCAAAGCTACAGGAGGCCACCCCCCAAGCCACGCCTAGGGAGCTGCAGGAGTTCCAGACTGCGGTCCTCGCAATGGCACAGGCCCTCGATGAGGACATGCGCGTGGCGAACCAAACGCACTGCCGGCAAGCCGACGACGGCGAGCAGGATTGGTCTGCGCCTTCGCGACCTGCGCCACCCACGACGACCAAGGAGAACCTGGGCATGGACTTGCCGGACGATCATGAGCAGCAGCGCACCTCCAGTGTGGCTCAGAGCGATGCTGCGCTGCTGCCTGGCAGAGGCGCTGGCACCGAAGAGGGCTTCGTAGCAAGGGCAGAGCCCAGCTGCCCTCCGTCCCCTGAGCCACGAAAAGGGGAGGAAGAGCTGGCCCTGGCGGCAATGGCACTTCTGCAACTCATGACCCCTCGGGTTGAGGAGACCCTCAGTCAAGGAAGGCTTTGTGAAGCAGCCGCCTCCGGCGCAGCGACAGCGCCTGCTCAGGACAGCCCCAGAGACTTCTGGCGATCCGGTCACCTGGGCGGTCTTGACTCAAAACGAAGCCTAAGCTCCTCCTTTGCGCCAGGACCAGGCCAGCTTGGAGCTCGAGGCAGAGACCCCGGAGGCTGTCTTCAGTCGCCAGGAAAGGGAAGCTGACTGCAGACACTGATGACAGAGGTTCAATGACTGTGGAAGAGAGAGTGAGGTTACTCTGACTCTTGAACCTGTTGCGGGGATTTGAAAGATTTCGTGTTCTCGCACCCAGCAGGACGAGGCGATTGACACTTGGCAGGTAAGCGGTGAGGGCCGTGCCCACTGCAGTTCGACTTTCATCTGTCTCCGCGCCATTCTGGCTTCGCTCTGCTCCGCTCTCCTTCTATTGACTGTTCTCCTTCTTGACTGTGTCGCTGACGCAATACACGGCTGGTTTTGATTCCTGGTACTTGTGGGTTTTGAGACAATGAGTGCAAGGAATTCATCGCCTCGCATCTATCCCGGCTGGAATCCAAGCCGGGTATGCTGGCGAAGGAGAAGCTGTGGTGACCTCAGACTTGTCCCCTTGCTGGCTTACCGTTGATCTTCGCATTGGCCGGCTTCCTGCATCCCAGTCTTTCCGATTCCAGGGATGCCGCAACACGACTGCATCGCTCGTTTTGGCAGGTCGAAGTTTCTACAGCTGCTGGGCATGAATGCTGCTGACATCGACGAGGCAACCAGGGCACTTCTTGCCACGGCTGTCGGCGGATGTGAGACGGGGGCTGGGAACCAACTTCCAAGCAGCTGATACTGATACTCATCTAAACCGGCGGAAGCTAGATTCCGTCTTCCACGATTCCACGACGGATGTATACGTTTGCAGCAAGAAGACGAGCTTATCATCGGGCGGCGGCTCCTTTGGAGTTTTGCGAACTTTGGAGGCCCATGAAAACACTCCTGACGCGTCATCCAGGGGCTGAGGCGCAGGAGAAATGCATGGATTTGCAGCCCGCGGGCACATCTCTTACCTAGCAGTGAAGGGCATGCCCCCGGTACGGAAAGTCTGATGGCAAGCCATGCTTGCCAGATTGGTTTCGCGGCCCTCCAAAACCCAAGCCTGCATGCAAGCTCCAAAATCTCCAAGCTCTCCGGCTTGTTGGCGAGGCCTTGGATGCAGCTCAGGTAGCGGATGCCGACTCTCGGCTGGCAGAGCTGACATTGCAGGCCTGCAGTACCCTGAAGCCGAGGAGGGGTTCATTGACTACAGGGCCTTCATGAAGTGGCTCCTGGAGCCTGAAAGCATCTGAATCGAGTGAAGCCTCGCCGAGCACGGCAGCGCAGAGCTTTGATTCGATCCCGCGCACTTCTGCCCTAGACTGTTCCACACAGCAAAAGCTGTGACCCTCCGTTCGCGCTCTCCGAAGTTGAGAGACGCGTGAGATGAAGCTGTAGTGAACGGACTGCAAACAGCTTGCGTTGGGCTTCTTGGCTTCGCCGAGTGCCGGCCTGTGGACTGTCGTGGCCGAACCCCGAGGAACTTGCTTTCAAGCTCATTGCCAACACTTAGTGATGGGACCTCGTAGCTAGGACTCTCTGGAAATGAGACGGCGCAAGTACGGAGAGAGCAACAAGTTTAGTGCTTTGCTGCCGGGCATATGCACACAGCCATGTAAGCAGTGCATTCTGCACCACGCGAAAGACTTGTCCTGCCTGCCTGAAGTGTTTTAGCGGTCCAGCTGAAGCTGCGAGATAGACATGGGAAGGGAGGACCACTTGTGCCCAGCTGCATCAGCGAAAGTTACACAGGTGCAGTGCAGCACCAATATGATGAGGAATGTGTCTGCAGCTATGCAGCGGTAGACCGAACTGCTGCCCCCTCACTTGCGTTGGAACCGAGTGTCCAACGCATGGCATGCATGGCTGAGCCGCGCTGCGCACCGATGCATTTGCCCAGCGGCACACCACCCAGAATCCCAGACTGCTGCAAGCCATCCTACGCAGCGGTGCTTGGGGCATCATGACCTCCACTCAGAGGTGGGCCACCTGAAAGAAATGGGCCTGGCTGGCGAGCTGATTTGGCCGGGTGCTTTGAGCAGATGCCCGAGCTTGGGAGACAGAAGCATAAGTACCGTGCGCACGAAGGTTCACGAAGCAAATCAGCGCAGCTGGCTGGCAGAGTGCCGCTGTCTCAGACGACATCCTTTGACTTAATCAAGAAGCGCAGGGTGTTTTTGTTTCTGCGTCTGCTGCAGCACATGCTGCGAAGGGCGGGTCGGGGCTTCATGATGATGACGCTGCCCGTGTACTTCCTGAGGCCTGGGCTCGCTCATCGCAGCTCCTCCTTGGGACGCAGCAAGAGAGGGCCCTAGCACGCCGTAGCCATGACTGACTTCATATGTGGTTTAAGTATTTTCCTTGCAGCCCTTTCTCATGCAGTACCAGCTGTTGACGTAGCTGCGTCGACCAAGCTTTGGAAAGTGATTAGACGATGCCGAGGCTGCTGAGTGTCTTGTGACAAGTTGGAGCGTAGGTAGTTGGGGTTTTGCCCTTCCTATCAGTAGACTCGGACTCTTCCTGTAGGGTTCACCAAGGTCGCGCTGCAGCCAGATGTTGTGCTGCTCGGAGCCGCATCAGGCTAGGGACCGCTTCCGTGCAGACAGAGTGAGACCAGGTCAATGCCCATAACAGACCCCAAATGAGTAGACGACCCTCGCTTAATTCACATTAGTAACCCCCTACGGCTTCAGAAGGCAGCACTGGAAGATTCAAGACAGTTCGCGACTCTGCACGGTACATGTGTTTGGCATCAGGGGCATTCAGCCATGGGAGACGCTGGCAAGAAGCAGTACAACTCTTAGCGGCAACCTTGGTCTGGCGCATGCATTGGGCGGAGTGGAAAAAGGAGCACTGTCACATTCCTGGCGCTGAGGTTGGCTTGCGATGTCTTGCTGTGCGGGCGAATCAGGTGAAGCGCCCGCACGTGACGCTGTGCTTTTTCCGCTCTTTCAGTTCCATGTGTTTGTCGCCACTTGCTGGTAGGTCCTTCATGGTGCAGTAGTGGCTGCCTGCATCTGCCTCAGAGGGCAGTGCAACAGGGCAAGATTGGGCGCTGGGGCACTGCAAGTGCTTAGAGGTCGCGAGCAGTGGCCGCGTACCTTCTGCGTCCTCCAGGAGATGTCGGAGGCAAAAGGCACGATGAGACACAGCTTTCTATATCCATGCTGAGCCTTCGAGGTGAATCTAGGAGTGAGCACGGTTGCGGCCGGACCCGCTGTCCATGCATCGCCATGGGTGCGCCAGCCAGAGTTGCGACTCCGCATGCAGGGCCCTACGGAGGCGCCTCAATCGGAGTGCCCAGCGCTTGATAAGGTACGTGGTCTGGATCTTCTCGGCGATTTGCAGGGCCGACTCTGTGAGCCGGGCGCTCTGGCGAAGTCAGAACATGGCAAGCGACATAGCATCGACAGAGAAATGAAGGATAAGCGCGGTTTGCTGGAACTCGATCATCGCCTCTTCGGGAGCTTCCTGGCCGAAGGCTCCCGGAGCCTTCGCATGCTGTGCGGTTTGAAGTTAACACCAGCCGCGTGGTTGCCTGCCAGTTGAAAGAATCTAGGCTTGTAAAGTAGATAGAGTGACTCTACTTCTTGTGGCAGGCGTTGAACCTGGTGGACGCGACTCGCTCATTATGATGGCTACTATTGTCAGGATATTTCCATCAGCGTCCTCGTTTCGCTAGCCGTAGCCACGATCTAAAAATCCATGCACTTGCTGCAGCACAGGAAACCTGCCGGCAGGTCCTAGGAGCAGTGTTTGTATGTGTGTGGTGTGTGTGCCCCTGTCCGTTTGTACGTGATTCGTCTTTGGTCGCTCCTAATAAGGTCTCCGAACAGGCTGCTGCAGAAACAAATCTGGTAGCGCCGCACCCCGAAAGAACACGGGGCTTAGCAAGACCTGAAGTGTGTGTGCACAAATGTCTTGCCAAGGCTGACCGCCGCATTCATCGTCACGTCAGCATGGCTGCTCAAAAGCAATGGGTACGGTATGTTCTTGAATTTGTCGCAAGACATTTCTTGGGTCCTGCAGCTTCAGGAGAGCTTCGACTGGTTTGACGGAGCAGTGGGACGCGCCTGCTTATGGCGCGGCATTTGCCAAGCTGGTGCCTTGCCGGCAGCGAGGGTGATGTTTTTTCGTAGTGACTGAGTCTGACTAAGGGTTCATTCGGAGAGCCAGCCGCTCAGAAGAGACCGAAGCGACCGAAGATGGAGCCTGGGCAGCGCCAAGGTGGGCAAGGCCGCTGGCACTCCTTCAGCAGGCCGGTGAAGGCGAGGGCCGCGAGGAGCTGAAAACGCTCGGGACGTAAGGGCTGAGGGAGCATTAGTGAGGCCGTGTGCACCTCGAGCAGCCGCAGAGCCGGGGCCCATGAAAAGCTAAGTCGGCTAGATGGAGCACACAAAGGAGCCGAATGTCTGTGCTCAGAGCATGCTGAGGTGCTGCGGCCGTTGGTGCATGTTCACGGTGTTGTGCCTGGAGGCATGGACTCACGCTTGCGGCCACGGCTGACACGACCTTCAACTCTGGCTCTCACAGGAGGAGCTTGAACATCTTGCTCCGGAGGAGTCGCAGCCATGCCAGGTAGGGTCGAGCTTGGTGTGACAAAGACTGCCATTGATATGCAAAGTCAACGAAAGCAGGCCTGTGGACAGCGTTGCCGTCTGATCCTCTCTTCGCGCTTTTTCAGAGTGACTGGATGCTGATCGCCTTTCAAGCAGTTAGCCACTGGGTAGCCAGTTCATGCTGCTCACGCCCCTGCAGCGTTTGACTCAAGGTAGGCCTTGCGGGTGCGAGCTCACTGCAGTCTCGCTGAGATAACCGTTCGAACCTGATCAGGGTAGTTCCTGCGAAGGGACTGGGCCGCCACCTCTGCCATGTTCATGCGAAGGAGTGCTAGCCTCTTGCGCCTTCCCGCTGTGCGGGCGAAGTCTGCGCTTGTCACTGCTATGCCTTCCGACCCAGCCTATGTCACCAACAAGCTCGCGCAGTTCGATGCCATGCAATTCACGCCTTGCCCTCAAGACTCAAGTTTAAGCGACGTCCCGATCACAGAGTGCTCTCCCATGTATCGAATGCATGCAACAACTCAGAGCATATTGCTGAAGACAAGCTTTTCTTCGCTTTCTGAGCGGATTAGTTTCTTTTGTTTTTACCAACAACCACTCTTCCGCCTCGCGATTGTTAGAACTACCACAGACAGACAACTCAGGGAAAAAGGGTGGTGAAGTCAGGAAGCCGATTGGCATTAGCTTGTCTGGAGCCTTTCAACACCTCTCTAGACTGACCCTTGCGAAAAAGAGCCCACGCAAGTTGGGGCCGACAAACCCAGAAACATCACCACCTAGGAATTCCCGGTGAATCGTCACTTTGGAGACTGTAGCGGCGTTTGCGCCGCAGGATTGAATAGCCTTAGTCACATCAGTTTTCATCTTGCGGGTGAGTCGAGACATTGGCATTCGCGGAGTCAAGAATCCCACAATCAAGCCATGTTTGGACAAGGAATCAGTTGCTAGTTCGCGCGACATCCTGCTATCATCATCGACCTTGGGTATGTGCCACTCCCCATCCCTGATGAAGTCAATGATGGCCGTCATGGCCGGGAGATCCCCAGCTGAAGTATTCAAGCAGGATGTCGCACCTGTCGAGGATGTAATTGGCAACTATGGTCCTGCAACACCCGTGGACAATGTAATTAGGCACCTGCGGACAGACAGGTTGCCACTTCGGGGATCCTTGTCTATTACAAACTCTCAATGCGAAGCACTGCGCAGCTGGGTTGAGACATGTGGGGCACAACATGCAGTTTATCTGCTGCTTTCTGATCTAGATGATATGGGTACGCGACGCGAAGGGACGTATGAGATACACCCAAAACGAGGGGGCATCCTCGTCTACCTTTATCCATTCCCGGTCCTCGTCGGCGCATATCCTCGAAGGAGTGCTAGTACAACATAGCACATTGCTGTCGGGCCACAGTCGGGAGAAACATTGGGACGATACAAGCCTATAGAGCCTAGAAGAGCGTGGAACTTTGCAAGGCCCATCCGTGAGAGCACGGTTAGCCGAGAGATGACCCGGCGCTACATGAGTGAAATGCTCGACTACGCGGAGACCGACGTGTGCCTTGAAGCGGTGTGTCCGATATGTGCGGGTGATCTGCTGTAATAATGGAGTGAGTTGAATAGTGCGGCTGGTCCGTCAGTTAAGGTGCATTGTTGGTGCCGGTTCTGCTGGACTTTCGTGCGCCTACGAACTCTCCAAACATCCGGACGTCAAGGTTGCAATTGTCGAGCAGAACGTGGCACCAGGAGGTGGTTGCTGGCTGGGTGGGCAACTCATGAGCTCCATGGTCGTGCGCAAGCCTGCCGATGAATTCTTGGATGAGCTGGAGGTTCCGTATGACGACAAGGGTGACTACGTTGTTGTCAAGCACGCGGCCCTCTTCATGTCCTCCGTCTTGCGCAAGGCGCTTCTGGCCCCGAACGTGAAGCTTTTCAACGCAGTTGCGGTGGAGGACCTCTTGGTGAAGCAAGAGGCAGATGGCGTGGCCGTGCGTGGCGCTCCCTGGCTGAGGATGGAGCAACGCTACGGCAGGATGATGTTCGTAGACAAACTGCACCCTAAGTAGAAACTTGCTAGGCTTGCGGCTCAGCAGCCGAGATCTAACACACCGGGCTGTTGGGTATCTAAGGTTGTGACCAACTGGTCCCTCGTGACACAGAACCACGACACGCAGTCCTGTATGGACCCGCAAGTCATGGAGGCCAAGGTGGTCGTCACTGCTACTGGCCATGATGGTCCTATGGGAGCCAGTTCAGCCAAGCGCTTGGAATCCTTGGGAGCCTTGCCCTCAGGGCTTCCGGGAATGGGTGCCCTGGACATGAACACGGCAGAGGATGCGGTGGTGCAGATGACGAGCGAGGTCGTCCCAGGTCTGATCTTTGCGGGCATGGAAGTCGCTGAGGCACGTGGCTGCAACAGGATGGGCCCCACCTTTGGTGCCATGCTTCTCTCGGGCCAAAAGGCCGCCAATCTCGCCATCCAAGCTCTGAAGCGTGGAAGCTGAAGGGCAGCAGAGGATGCAGTTCCGGCCGTTGACGGCCCGGAAAAGGTTTTGGTCTAGAATTCTAGAGCTAGCACTCAGAGCCAAGAAGTGTTCCATGTTGGCTCCGAGCTACCAGCAAGCGCAGAGTTTCAAGGAGATGTGCCGCAGCGCATCGAAAAGTTCCGATGTTGAGCTGCTGCTCCAGACTGCCGCAAGTCGCTGCGCTTGATGAGATAGGCAAGCGAGAACAGGACGCGACAGACCATCATTACTTTTTGATAGCATCCTGCTTTGGGTTAAGGCTTGGACGTCTTCGGCAGACGCAAGCGGCCAGATGCAGTGCCCTTCTCGTAACTCAGGCTTTGATTGACGCGTGCGACGACATGCAAAGATTTCGCAGGTACTGGCATCATGCTTTGCAGCTCTTCCGGGCTTGTTTCCGAGAAAATCCGACGGCTCGGGGGAACTTGAAGCTGCTACGAGCCCAGGTGGCACGAAATGGCGGTGTCAAGCTCGACGCGACGGCAGCCGTTACGGTCGCTGGCTCGTTCCAGGGTTTGTCCTGAGGGCTGGGAGTGGCACCCCTTCAGGCGGAGCGTGCCTGCCTCGCTGCCGAAGAGTGGATCAGGACGTCTGGCCTTGCCTTCATCCTTCTCCAAAGTCCGTTTCCTGAGCTTTGGATGCTGCCGCAGATCTGTAGAGATCCTCGACGGCCAGCGCCCGTACCTCAGCCTCAGACGTACTTGTGCCTGCAGAGGACTGATAGCAGGGCGAATTCCGCGCCAAGGCCATGTGCGCCTGTCCGCGGACACTGTCGGTCATGCCGTTTCTGTGTGCGGCCAAGACGTTTTGAAATTACCCCGATGTCGTGCAATCGCGAGCCTCGCAGGTGGAGGCGTGCTGTGTTGGCAGCTGCTGGGACCAGGCATGCAGCAGCATGTTGATCCTTTGCTGTTCTGCATGCTGCATTATCCGAAGTCTTTGTGAACAAGCTTCTGTGCGGATCTGGTGGCATCATCACAGGCTTTGGTCTTGGTTGTCTCCCACAATGATCAGACATCATCTGCTGCGCCTGGCCCAGCATTGTTCTGATCAAAGCTGCTTGACGCTGCAAGCCACAATCAGTGCCTGCAGCGGTGGCCATCATACTTCCATGATTCACACAACTTCGTCTTCCAAACAAAGGCTGCTCACAGCCTCCGGAAGAAAACCTGCTTCATAAATATACCGGCAGAGTGTTCTCCAGTGGTCCGCGTGAGCCGCGAAGCTGCGCTCTGCTCAGGCTCTGAACTCCTTCGTCAGCAGCTGCACGTCCGCAGGTGTCCCTCTTGTGAAATCTTGTATTATGGAGCTGTTCAAGGAACTCCAAAAAGGAGGAACGGTTTTGGGGGCAAGTTCAGAGTCCATAGTCCAAAGTAAGTTTTCAATATTGCGTTTGAAGACTCGCGATTGCAGGTGCGTGGCAGCAAGCGGTTGAGGCTCTGAGCTTTATGCCTATCACGGAGGAGGCCGGGAAGGCTTTGACGGGGCACACAAAGGATCTGGGCAAGAAAGGCATCACAAGCGCGAGGTAGACAGGTAATTGCCGGCAGCGAGAGTCCGAGAGCAGAGCAGCCGTTCCGCCAGGATGCAGTTTTCGGTTGGAACTCGGCATTGATGGCTTGCGTTGCTGCCGGCAAGTGGGACCAGGCCAACTGCTGTGGAGTTTGGGTGCTCTTATTTCATCTGCATCCTGCCGGGCAGGCCCTGTTGCTGCTCAAGGATATGCGCGACAGCCTTGGATGTGCAAAGTACATGCGCAGGGATAGTCGTGGCCCAGGGCCAACGATAAAGAAGTCGTGAAGCTCTCGCTGCTGTTATTCACCCATGCCGTCTACAGGTACAGTCCTGTTGCAGCCAGATGTCGTGAGCCTGGCGACGGTCCTCGAAGCCCTCCCATCGAAGACAGACCAAGTGAGGCCGAGTGAGTGTTCAATCTACACTCCTCTATGGCTTTTTCGTCGGAAGCTTTCCAACCCACCCTTGCAGGCTCCTCGACAGCCTCTCGGCTGTGAGTGTCACATGCTCAGAAAGCCGGCACCTGCTACTGGCAGCTGGGAACTGAGATGGGAAGCACGTTCGACTTTCACCTGAGGGGGAGCAGCACAAGCGTCGAGACGAGGCACAGGAGCTCGAAGCCCACGGCATGCTCGCCTCCACAGTGGCGGCCGCGGCGTTCGGTGGCTTGGCCTGAACAGAGCGGCCTGTGTTGACGACAGAATGGACTAGTAATTGCCTTAGTGGCCGCTGTCCCCAGACCCAGCCGAGGCGCCGCAGGGCGGTCCTTCAGATCGGCACTCGGACTCGGGCTGCGCGCTGAAGGCGAGCAGCTACTGGAGCTCGTGTTCAGCTTCCCTTGCTTGCGCAGCCTCCGCCGGCATGGCAGGAGGGAGCCAGCGAGTCGCTGAGGTTCCAGGTGAGAGTCGGTGAGAGCCCGGAGTCCTTTCTTAGTGCTCGCGCATTGGACCACTGCCTCGCAACGCTGCCTCCTGCGCAAATCTGCCACAAGATAGACTTTTCGCCGTGGCGATTCTGAAACACTGCATGTTTCGACCACATGTCGGTGCGCGCCAGGGGTGGGCAGCTCTCTTCTGACATGGCGGTTGCTTGAGGAGCCGCCTCCTTACCAAGGGCTGGACGAGACAGTCCGGGAAGGGTTGCTCTGATCCCGAAGTTTGGACTTCGCATCGTGAAAACCCAATGAAGGTTACTTGCCACTCCGGATTTGTCTTCCCTTTGCCTGGCCCGACCGAAACTTCAGAGCAGAACTTTGAGCTTCTGCGAAGGTACAATCTGTCGTCTGGTGGCCACAGGAGCATTGACGCACAAAGATTTGTTCAAGAGCGTGGCGACGTGGAGCTTGAGCGATGTTGCTACTTGCAGTCATTTGAGGCTCTGTAGTTGTCATAGGGCCCGCACGAAGTGCTTCGAGCGGTGAGGCTTCTGCACTTGCAGGCAAGCAAGTTAGGCTGCGGCAGCTCGTTGGGGCAGGTTATGCCAAGAGGCTCGCTGTGGTGACCAGAAGGCCAGTGTCTTAGACCGTGAAGAACGTAAATTGGCAAGGCACCTCTTGGCAGCTGGAAGGTTGCAAGTTCAAGCGAGGCAGGGGCAATGGCGCACTTCTTCCTCATGCAAGGCAAGATGGATGAGGCCTGGCCTTCCAGCAATGGCCATCAGCTGTGCCTTTCCGAGCCTGCCAGCCAGAGGTCGCGAAGAAGTTCTTTGCCGTCACGCAGGAGGCGAATGATGCCCTTCCATCGGAGGTCTTGGGCTTGGGGAACTCGCCTCAAAATCAAGCTACCTGGCCTAACATCAACGACAGCCTGCTGTATTTGCGAGGTGGCAGCGGTCACAAAGATTCAGTCCGTGCACCGAGCCTCGCAGATCCGGAGCGTCTACCACGCAGTGGTGGCTGCTGTCGCCTGACAAATCCTGGGGTACACGTAGGTGCTGTCAGTGCGTGTTGAGCACAAGCTGAAGAAGCCTCGCTTTTTTCAGCAAGGCGCTCCTCATCCAGCGGATGATCCGCGGATGTCTGGGAAGGAGACGAGCCAAGTCGGTGAGCATCGAGCGTGGCCAGGATGCATAGAGACTCGAAGAAGTGAGTGGGGGCTCCTGGCCTTGAGACGGTCCATCTTAAAGCAGGGTGGTTTCGGTCCTCTTTTGAGGCTTTTGATCACTTGCTTGCGGTCCCTGTCTGCTGCGGCCGCTTCCTCCTCTCTTCCCAATCTCTCATTCCTTTTCAGGCTGGGATCAGGCCCTATAGAGTCTCAGACCACTTTGACCGCTTTCAGCCACTTGCACCATCTGTCAGCGTGCTAGACGCGTGTGCTAGAGTCTAGAGAGTCGCATGAAGCAAACGGACGAATTGCCGATGCAAGCCCGAGGTACAAACAAGCTGCAGCTACACTTCTTCCACCACTGTGCCTGGTGCTGAGACGTCTTTCTCTGCTGCTATCTGTTGACGAGCACAAAGCCAAGGCTGCCATGATCCAACGCCTTTGGCGCGGATGGTTTAGCCGACTGCATGTCCACGATTTCTACATGCGCAGAGACTATCTCGTCAAGGCTAGGTACACAGTCCCGCCGGCCCTAGCAGGCCCCAGTAGCGAGTGTTTTCGAAGCATACAGGTGGAGCAGCGAGGACAGTGGACACAGGACTTCCTGGCATCGGAGCACAAGGACGGATGGAGCGCGGAGGGTGGTAGACGCCACCACAGATGCCGGAAGGAGAAGCTCCAGGTCGCCAAGATGGAGGAGGAGTTGAAGGTCCGTCAGGAGCTCCTTGGAACAAAAGTCCCTCGTAAGAGAGGTTTGCAAGGACATTCAGTGAAGCACACTTGTGTGCGTAGTAACAACCGTGAACGGCGTAGCTGCCTTCAGCACTCTGGCTCGACGCGACCTTTCGCCTAAAGCTTTTCTCCTAGATCCTTTCGTGCCTTCGGCGGTCATGTCCCTTCCTCCTGCGACGGCTGCTGAGATGCTGGCTCAGGCCCTGGCGGCGGCTCGACGTACCGGCTGGGTACCGGTCGTCGGTCTTTTGTCGACGGACCAAATGACCGACCTCATCGACGCCGGCCACGCGGCGAGCCAGCTGATGGTTGGCATGGTGCAAGGATCGACGATGGAGACTGCGGCGGAGGTCGCGGCGGAAGCAGCGGGGGGCACCGGCGGCACTGACAGCATGCCCTTTGTGCCGACGCCCATCCCTGAGGGCGACGAAGACGACGAGGTGCTCATGTCCCAGCCCGTGGTGGTCGACACGGCGGGGGTTGGGTCCCCGCCTGTGGCATCCCCTGTGGCGGCGGCTCCCACCCCGATGGCTACAGCACCGACGCCTTCAGGCAGATCGACGCCGGCGATCGTGAAGGCGACGCCTCCGGAAGATTTGGCCCCACTGCCATCGGCGCCACCCTCGGTACCGGCATCGGGCACAGCGACCCCGGCGCCACAGGACTACTTCATCGACGTCGCCACCAAGGCCAAGGCGGCGTCCCTGCTGGCATCCCGGGCTGACACATGGCAGGTGGCGGCGCTGACTTCGATGCCATCCTCTGGGACGGCGACACCCGCGCACTCGGCGCGACGGGGGCCCCCCAACGCCAGGGAGATTGTGGCGGCGTTGGATGTGCAGGCGACGCAGGCTCGCCCTGACTCCTCCTCGGCGTCGGCTGGTCGACGCCCATTCTTTACTGGCCTCGACGCTATGGAAGAAGCGTCGGCGGCGGCCTCCGGTGCGGCGTCACCGACGGGCAGCTCCCGCCACAAAGCCCCGCCGACGCCTCTGGTGCCTCCCACGGCGTTGGTCATTGATCCCAACAGGGGCGGCGGCACAGCTGCGACGCCTATTCACCCGGGGCTGGGCATTGCGGCGGTCACCGTGCCGGCAGAGAACCTGGAGACGGCGGAGCCGATGGTCTACCCGCCGACGCCCAACCCCTACGACGGACCGCCCACTCACATGGCAGCCGCGGCTTCTGCGGCGGAGGTTCCTATGACCCTCCCGACGGCGGCCAGGAAGGGCCCAGAGGCAGCCTCGACGTCAGCGAGTTCCTGGATCAACTCGGCGTCCCGCTGGGAAAACCCGCTCGACGACCAGGCGGATTGCGGCGGCGGCGAGCAACCAGGAGTTCCCCTACATCCGCCGGCCGCCTGCCGACGCTCACCACCGACGGTCCTCTGTGCCGACGGAGGCCATGCGGGCAGAGAGACGGCGAAGGGAGGCATCGGCCCATGAGCGGCGCCAGTATGAGGCATATGATCCGCGGCGGTGGGGCAGCACCCCGTGGACGGCGGAGGAAGTTGGCCACATTTCCCCGGCGTACTTCGAGTACAAACGCCTGATGGAGAGGGCCGGCGCGTCAGCCGAGGAGACGGCGGTGCCACCACATCTTCGACGCTTTGCCTATGCCTCCCTGGGCCAGCTGCGGGAGATGGAGGACAGCGGCGCCCTGCCCAGGCCCGCGACGCCACGGCGTGGCGAAGACCCGCCAGAGGCGGACTACCCGTTCCTCCGACGCTTGCCCGCCGGCGTGGCCGGCGCACGCATCACGGTGCGGCACAGCAAGGAGGAACGACGGATCGTTGGCTGGTGCGCGCACCCATGCACGGTGCCGCACCGCGACGCTGTGTGCGGCGGAGAGGGTCGCTGCCTTCGGCCTATCGCCCTCGGCGCAGCCGGCGCCCACGGCGCATCCGGCAGCCACAAATGCCCGGCGTGTGAAGGCCTCAAGGGCACAGGGCGGCGCTGAAACCGCCCCCCCGACGCTGGGCAGCTATGCTCCGACGGGGTTTTCTTTGGGTCCGGCGTTGGTCGGAGACGACGACACCCTGACGACAGAGCTCCCGGCGGTGATCAGCCAGAGTTTTTGCCACTTTTGCGGCGTTCGACGAAGATAGACGCCCGCCACAGACCTTGCTCGGAGTCGCGCCACGGCGCCAAAAAGAGTGAATGCATCGGCCTGCGGCGCATGTTTGCTGCTTGCACCTCTCTCTCTCTTCGGTTGTCCGGCGCTCGACCCTAACCCGCAGCCATTTTTGCCCGAACGCTGTCGCCAGCCCGGCGCTCAAGTAGGATCACGGCTCGATGGCTCAAGCTCCCGCGGCGGAGCCTGCTCCAGGCACCTTTGCAGCCTTCCTGGCAGAGGTGGCGACGGCCGGCGGTGGAGCACACATGTCCTGCTTCGCGGCCCTGGGGGTCACATCACGGGCGAGGCCGACGTCGGCCATGGTTTTTTGGATAGGGCGGACATCCCATACCGACGACCGGCACACCGAGCCTCGTTGCAGGCGGCACTGGAGGCGGCGGACCCGCAGAACACCCAGCGGGCCATCGACGAGCTGGAGTCGGCGGTGTTCGCCTCCACCACTCGGCGGTCGGTCGACTCCCGCATATCAAGATCGCGGAGCGCCACGGCGTGGAGCCCTGGCCCCTCGACCACTACCGGATTCGGATCCTTGCGGCGTGCCTCAAGGACGGCGGCTACAAGTCGGCGCAGCTCTACCTCGACGCCGCCATCTATCACCAGCACCGGAGCCCCTGGACTGCCGACGGCCACACCACGCCGTCGACGTGGTGATCATAGCATGCTGGTTCATCCTCAGGGAGGTCGAAATTGCCGGCGCCCGGGTGCAAGACCTCACGCTGTCTTCGGCGACCTTCGGCGGTGGTATCACCCTGGACCTGCCTCTGCATAAGACGGCGCAGGGGGGGACAGACCGAACTGACGCGGCGATCCCTCCGCTGCGTCTGCACGGCGGTGATCCACCCGCTCTGCCCGGCGTGTGCCGCAAGGAGACACCTGGCTAGGCTACACGCCGACGGGGCCAAAGCACCCAACTCGGCGCTCTTCCCCACCTCGACCACCGAGCCCCGGACGAAGGCGGCGTCCATCGAGATGTTCCTCCTGGTCTTGGCGGCGTGCGGGGTGGAGACGCGCATGGACCACCCCGATGGGCGGCGAGTACCTATCTTCGGGGGCCACGCCGCGAGGGTGTCCGGCGCCACCTTCTTGGCGGCCCGGGGTGTGGCCATCGCCATCATCCAGCTGCTCGGCCGATGGGCCAGCGCGGCGGTCGAACGGTATACACAGGCAGCGCCCCTGATACGCAGCGGCTGTACCGGCGCAAGCCCTGGCCATTCGGCCAGTGGAGGCGACCAGTAGTGCGGCGGCGAGCTCATCGCACAGCCCACTCGCCCTGCCGGCGCCAGACGAAGATGAAGAGAAGAGGTCGGCGGGGAACAGCCCGGCGAGGTCCCCCGACGCTATGCCGGAGGTTCCCGTCCAAGGTCGTGCACCTCCCCGGCGCCGACGAGACGGCGACCGAAAAGCACGAATGGGCGGCGAAGTGTGGTTGGCCGTACGGCATCCGCCAGTTCTTCCGGCTGTCGGCGGAAAACCGCCCGACCCCCGGCGTTGCCAGAGGTGCTTCCCCGTGGTGGCGATTGACACGGCGACGGAGGTGGGGTCTTCCGACGGAAGCTCCTCCTCCTCGTCCGGGGGGTCGACATCTGATAGCGACTGAGCTGCGACGGGGGTTGAAAGAATGCCCCTCCTCCTTTGCACACTCGATGGTCGGCGGCCGAGCTCGCGCTTGGCACTCTTACCGACGCAGTTTTGGGATCCTCTTTTAAGTTTTGCTGTGACCCGACGCCCCCCCTACTACCCCTGCCATGGCTGGTGCGCTGGCGGCTGCTTTCCCAACGGTGGCGGCGGCCATGGCGTCCCTGGACGACCTCATCGTGTCGGCCGGCGCGGCGCCGGCGATCAAGGACTATATCGCGGCACGGGGGATATCATCTACGCCGACGCTCGCACTCGTGGCCGAGGACACGGCGAACTTCGTGGCGAAGTTCGTTCAGCCATTCCTGTCCGGCGTGAACCTGGCCGGCACCGAGCACAAGGCGGCGCCCGGCAGCGAGGATGTGACTCAGGCGGTGCTGGTACACCTCTTCACAGAGGCCCAGCGGCAATGGAAAGCGGCGACGGCACTGCCGATCGCCACTCCGGCGCCCCCGCCCGCGGCCGCACCAGGGGGGCTTGCACCGGCGGCCACATCGACGGCCGACGAGCGCCCTCCCAAGCACTTCGCGCAATGGTCGGCGCAAGTCACAATGCCTACCCAGAGGCTCCGATTAGTCTATTTACAGACTATTCGGGAAGTGCAAAGGGTGACCCTAGACCAGGGTGCCCTTTGTTTGGAGTGATCATTGGTGGGGTGTGGGGTGTGTTGCTTGTCGTAGGATTAGGTAGTGATCGGATAGTAAGCATTATAGTCAGTGGTAGTGGTCCGAGTGGAGGGGGGTGTCAAGTAACAGGATTAGTAGTCGAGGTCCGTCCTCGTCGGTCGCTTCTGCATGCACAGACACACACATAGACACACACACATGCACATGTGCACACTTGTGGTCTTCCTCGCCACCATCATCAGCCGGTCTTGAACTCAGCTGTTCATGTGCAGTGGTAAATGTTGTTGATGTGGTGTCCTTTTGAATGTCTGCAGGTCCGACTCGACATCATCGGCCCGAGTTCCTGATTGAGGCACAAGCACCACTTTGTCCGTGCTCTTTCGTTGTGGAAGTTTGCATGGCTTGGGAGCACAGCTTGACTCACTGATGCATGGCCCGAGTTCAGCACTGTACAGTGTGTTATGTCAAGATGCAACCTGGTAGATCCTGCCAATAGTCACATCCTTGCCTGAACTAATTCAGCCATGCATGTCTGAGCGTTCACAACATGCATCCAGCAGTGAGTCCAGACAGATGTGCTGACTTCTTAGCTTGTATGGCAACTTGGCTGATCATGCCAGTAGTCATATGCTTGCCTGATAAATTAAGCCACCCAGGCATCGCGGAGCTTTAGTGCTAAGACGTCTTAGCAAAATTGACCTGTGAAAGCCATTGCCTTGGCTGGGTCCTTTGGTCGAGCTTCTGCTGCTGGCTGAGACTCTCTGCTGCAAATCTGTGCTAATCTGGGCTTGAACCACCACACAGCAGCACAGCACATTCCATTGATCCTGAGCATTCAACGGAGGCCACATCTCAGAAGCCGACGTGCATCTTGAAGGCGGTGCCAGGGCACTTGCAGCTGGGCTTTCCATTTTCAGAGATCATGATAGTCGCTGTGGCTGGAAGTGAGTGCACTTTCTAGGGGACTGTATTTTGAGGAACAACGCCAGCATCCACCGCATCTTCAAGGTCCGACTGAAGCCGCTTCGGCTTGACATTGGGGCTGGTTCGAACTTATGCAACTTGATGAGAGTTCCTTGTCAGTCTCTGTCAGGAATGGCACTGCTGTCTTTCGAGCGGTACCCTGGAGACTTTATTCAAAGGGCGTTTGACGCAGGCCCGAATCGTTACACTCAGGTTCTATTCAAGAGACAGACCCAACAGAGTTTGGTGATCGTTGCTTTTTGTTTGTCAGGTCCGAGGCCAATCACCAAATGGGGCAGCTTGGCATATTGCAGCGGAGAGCTGTCCTGGAACGTCGAGAATACCGACGAAAACAACGCGGCCCAACCCTTGGTACGGTATGTCATTATGTGTTTGCATACACATGATGTATGCATGTCTGCAATACATGAATCAATCGGCGAATCAAGGTCCGAATATCGGTGAAGCGATGCCACTACCCCGTGGCGTGGGCTTTGAACGCCACGGGGGCAGATATGGTGGCGTGGGTTGAGATGCTTGGTTGCCTATGGGAGAACTTTATAAAATTTTCGGCCTGGTGTATGTGGTCAGTTTTAACTTTCTGGGGCCTGGTTATGAGGATGTGGGCGATCCTGAACCACAGCAACTCCTGGGCCCGATTCTTGGCGGAGGAGGTGGCAAGTCACATGCTGCGCAAGATGACCAAGAAGGATGACCGCTGGCCCGACTTTTCGCTACTAGGCGGCACCTTTGAGTTTTGGGAGTTTCTATTTCTCCAGTAGTAATATGGTTCAGTTAGATGAAAGGACCCCAAGACCACAACCCAGGAAGTACTGGTCAGAAAAGACGAAGCTGGTCATGGAATACTTCCGCTCTTGCCACCACCAGTGTCTGGGTTGTGCTTTGGGATAATTTTTATTTTTCTGGTCTTTTATTACCTTATCCAGGGAACATATTCATACATAATTTTCCAAGGGCTTAAATGAAAACAGACCCAGGAAGCCCCCCAAGCGGGGAGACCACGGGGCACGCCACTGGGAAGCCCATTGTGAGCGGGTTTCGATGGATGAAGTGTGGTCCGACTGTCCCGGGCTTGCCTGGTGCTTACACAACCTCCAGGTGACCGATCCCACCACATGGTCCGATTCTTGGTTAGATGGAGATGGCAGGGATTTGGGTTGTTTTAGTGAAAAATCCAACTCAAAGACAGCTTCTTAGTCTTGTGAGCCTGCACTGATTGTCAGGACTTGCTGGGGCTGTACTGGGAAAACCACGTAGGGTCCGACTACCTCCTGGAACATATTCGCCACATGACGTCTGGGATCGAGTCGACCCGCAGCTTGGATTCCAACAATTATGTTCTGTTGTTTTGGGCCCGATTGTTCAAAATGTAACCCAATGCTAACCTTAAACCCTGCTGTCTTCATAGGCCTTTGGGGTTGTGCTGTAGTCAACCGACCTGCTATCTACGAACCTCGTCTGGACATGTCCGACTTGCGAGAGCGTAAACCCTGAACCAAACATCCCTGCAATACGGGCTTCGTCCTTGCTACTAGGGATGGATAAAACCCTAAACCTGAATCGAGGTCCGCGCAGAGG